TGGGCCGAGCGGAATTCGGCCCATCGAACCCGGGGGAGGCAAACTAGACTTTTGCGGAGGGATTCGATTTGGAAGGAATTGGATTCGGAAATGAACTCGACGATAGATCGGAGATTTAGATCTTGAGATGGCACGGACACTAGACAACAATCAAAGAAACCAATTTCGCAATTAGGGTTTTTAAGAGATAATTTCCGCTAGGCGCCACGACGGAACGGGCGCTACAATTCCTTAATCAGAAAACAACACTGCCGCATATAGTTACTTGGTTTACTCGTTGTTAAAATGATGAAAGGAGGACGGAAAACAAATTGAAGGGAAGACAGAAGAGGAGAAAAAGAAAGTCACCAGAATTCTCTCTTCCGTCAGTCTCAGCGCGGTCGATCGTCCGGAGATGCGACGGCGTTTTCACGATGTAACCTGCCTAATTTCTCGAGAACCTTCGCTCAATCATTCACCGGGACTACGTCGATGAGTCGATCGACTCTGCACGCCTATCTCGGGCCTTACAGATTGCACCGTGTGCATACGATCGCCTGTACATATAGTGGGGGCCTGATTAGGATGCTGGAGGAGATATATGCACTGCAGTTTTGAACAGTTGCACAGGGCCTTCAAATTTGAGAAGACTCTTCAGCAAATCAAGCGGTTCTACCGTGCACCGTGCTCTTTTGACAGGGAGCTCCAGGCGATATTTTCTTTTTCAGAAGTACTAAGATCTATTATACTGACTCTAGTACAAAGTGTTCGTACTACACTAGTACTACTGCCAATTGTCTTGCACAAATGGTCCATTGCAGCTCACTCTGCCATGCTACGTACGGAATAGTAACATGTTATTCACGCACTTTTCACATGTATGGCACGTACAATGTGTCAAATTTCAGGTACAGATAACTTACTGAGAAATTTGTATATACCTGTTATATGAACTCATCTATATCACATTTGTTAGGAAACCCTCATAATCTTAGTCACCTTTTTTTTTTACAAAACCTACTATACACCTTCCCAACGTGAGCGCCGCAAACATCAACACCATCGCTGCCACCGCCTCCTTACCCCTAGTGTGTCGCCACACGGTCTCACCTGCTGGTTGGAAGACACCAATGGCATTGGCAAGGCCCCTCGGCTGGTTTCCTCCCTATCTCCACTCTCTGACTCTGCCCTCCCCTGCCCTATGTTCCTTCTCAAGCCGGCGGCAATAAGGTGCCCCTGCTCCACCATCTTCCATGTCTCTAGTGGCTATCTGTCGTTGGATCCGTCACCCCCCGATTGCCGCCTCCTAACCAGTGGGTTTGTTTTGCCCCTGTCAGTCATCCTCCGTCACACACGGTTATCTCTCTAAGCTTTGGGAAAACCCTTCCTCTTCCTCCTCCTCCTACCCCCTCCCATCCCAAAAATAACCTAGAACCCTAACTGATGGGGGGACGTTGCTGCCTTGCTAGAGCTAGAGGAGAAGAAAGCCGACACAAATCTTGGCATGGACCCTATGGTCTGAAATTCGACGAAAATCTTTCCAAATTTCTGCCATATGAAGGTTAGCGATTCCGTAAAAATTATGAATGAGCCTGTACAATTTACCTAAATGGATGGTCCGGATTTGGAACTTATCTACCCTTAAGGATGGTCAAAATTCTCATGGTTACACGAAGAATGTCAAATACACTCACACATCTCGCTAAGGAAAAACAGAACAGCCAATCAGAGCATAAATTTCAAACTTTTCTTGAAAACTCAAGCAATTTTTCACTGATATTGGACAATTTTTTTTATCAACCATAATCACTAGTGTCACAAACACCTTGAAATTCAAATACATTCAAAACTTTTGTCCAAAAGCACATCCGACCGGGGGACCTCAAGATAGAACCGAAATTTCAAATTTTCAACCGAAATTTATGAACTAGATGAGAGTGATGCGTAAGGGGGACCATCAGGGAGCAAACAACCGTGACCGAATTGCATAGGAGTTATGGCTGATCACTTGAGAAATTAACCATCCATTCCCGGTTTCCCTCCAATATTGCACCCATCCATCATCCACCAGGGATGATACCGTTGCCGTTGCTCTAAAAAACGTTAAAACAGCGGCAGGCAACACGACAGCACATCGCATCGTACGTACGTCGTTCGTCCCGCTCTCCTCCGTCGTCCTCCCTGCCCACCGTCCCCCACACCCACTCCCCGCCGTCACGTCCTTCCAGAACCACCTCCACGACTCTTCCAATCCCCCGCTATAAGACGCTTCTCCACTCACCACTGCAACCCTCACCCAGCCAGCTCGAGCGAGCGAAGCCAGCAGCAGAAGCAGTAGAGAGAAAGTAGAGAGATGGAGGGGAAGGAGGAGGATGTCCGGCTGGGAGCCAACAAGTTCTCGGAGAGGCAGCCGATCGGCACGGCGGCGCAGGGCTCCGACGACAAGGACTACAAGGAGCCGCCGCCGGCGCCGCTGTTCGAGCCAGGGGAGCTCAAGTCGTGGTCCTTCTACCGCGCAGGGATCGCCGAGTTCATGGCCACCTTCCTCTTCCTTTACATCACCGTCCTCACCGTCATGGGGGTCAACAACTCCACCTCCAAGTGCGCCACCGTCGGCATCCAGGGCATCGCCTGGTCCTTCGGCGGCATGATCTTCGCCCTCGTCTACTGCACCGCCGGCATCTCCGGCGGCCACATCAACCCGGCCGTCACCTTCGGCCTCTTCCTCGCCAGGAAGCTGTCCCTCACCAGGGCCCTCTTCTACATGGTGATGCAGTGCCTCGGCGCCATCTGTGGCGCCGGCGTCGTCAAGGGCTTCCAGAAGGGCCTGTACGAGACCACCGGCGGCGGCGCCAACGTCGTCGCGCCCGGCTACACCAAGGGCGACGGCCTCGGCGCCGAGATCGTCGGCACCTTCATCCTCGTCTACACCGTCTTCTCCGCCACCGACGCCAAGAGGAACGCCAGGGACTCCCACGTTCCGGTTAGTATACCAACTACTACTGCAGTAAAGATTCAGAGATGGAAGTATTTTTACTGTTTTCTGAGTGATTGATTTTTGTTTTAATTTGCGCGATCTTCCACAGATCCTTGCCCCACTGCCAATCGGGTTTGCGGTGTTCTTGGTTCACCTGGCCACCATCCCCATCACCGGCACCGGCATCAACCCAGCGAGGAGCCTTGGCGCTGCCATCATCTACAACAGGGGCCATGCCTGGGATGACCATGTGAGTTTAAATTCACTGAAACCAACCCCTTTCTCCCTCCTTACATGTAGAAATATATATATATATATATATATATATATATATATATATATATATATATATATATTTGACAGTTCGATTTGCATCATCTGTTAATGCGCAGTAACTTAAAATTGATGCACAAAGGTATTCTAGGAATATATAGGATAGCTGGTTGTAGTAAAAGAAGAACCTTGTATCTGATAACTGATGCCATATCCCCATGTTGAAATTATATGTGATATTACTTAACTGCTAGCAATAATTCAGTAGCTCTGTAGCTGTAGCTGACTTCTATAGGTGCAAGCATGGTGAGGTAGCATTTGTTGCTTATTTAATTATAGATAGGCTTAGCTTAACACCCTCATCTGAAGGGAAATGTTGAGGGACTAGTTTCAGTGTAGCAGGCAACTGCTACCATCTCTGACAATGACTCAATTGGCTATTACTGTATGATAAGTCTACATCATTAGTGAGGACATGATTGAGCAATGGCACTTAATTACAAGCACTAACTCCCGCTGCAATTTGCTGGTTCTGCAGTGGATCTTCTGGGTTGGCCCCTTCATTGGCGCTGCCCTTGCTGCCATCTACCACCAGGTGGTCATCAGGGCAATTCCATTCAAGAGCAGGTCGTAACCTGCATCAGCTATTATCACTGTCAAGATGCCAATCCAGAGCAAGCTGTTTCTGATGGGCGCGGCTGTTTCCCGCTGCCTGCTTTGTTAGTAATTATTGTGGAGTCGACGTTCCTCTTCAAGTTTGTTGTACTACTGTTTTTATCTGAACACAGACTTGTAATTTCAGTACTCAGTTGTGTATCCCTCTTTTACTATGTGCAAATTAAGCTATCCTCCTCCTATTGGAGTTCGGTTCAGCTGCCATCTTTCTGCAATTGCCAACACGGCTATCCACAAAACCTTAACATCAAAAGGGATAAGGCATAGTGGGTGTCGAGAAGAATAATCATTGGGTTCCAAATTGAGACGAAACCTCTCTTTCTGAGCTATCTGTCACACTTGCATCATCGAGATCGTGATGCTATTCAGCCTACTCCAATCTGCCAGCACACCTGGGCTGTGGTTGGCAGCTTGTGGATGGAGTAACATCTCGGCGAATTGAGGTTGGTGGTGACGGCCGAGAGGACAATGATGTGAGTCATTGCCCGTTGGCAATTGGGGTTGGGGCTGTGTGTGTGGGCGCTCTGGTCCTAAACGCAACACTACAAAAACTTACACCGTGGCACATGCCGTGCTGATTGTTTGGTTCTTGCAAACAGCCTAGCTGCGGAAGATCTCTCCCCCTTTTTACCTTCCCCTTTGTTTACATTTTGGTTCATGTTTGCGGCCACTGCACGGTGGCTTGGTACGATGAACCCCCCCGTGTGCCCACAGACAGACCGCACTGATTTGGCCGGAACCTGAAGAGGAGGTATTGCGTTGTTTGCAAGGTTTCGCTGGCTGGACCTCTGTCTTCTGGGGACCGCTCCAATGCCAGCAAACGGCTCAGTGAAGAGGACCAGATCACCGATCCAACATAAATTGCAAGAGATACCGCCTCGTCTCTGTGCATGTGGGCTTCACGGATCATCAATTCACCATGACCTGATGATGATAAGCAGCTGCTACATTGTTAGCTGCACGGTTCAAGCTTGTAAGAACTAAGCATACAAGTCTCAGTAACAACTGCAAGAAAGTCTACACATTAATTAGGTAATGGTTATAGTCTTATAGATAGCTCACGGTGCAGATCTGAAGAACATGTACATGCGGGAGAAGCTAGTTTAACCAAGGATCTGATTCTTTGTATAAATTTCCAGAGTAACTGGTACAGTGAATAAGTTGGCTCATTGGCTGAGTTCTGCTACAAAATACTTTCAGTATGCAGTTTGACTTGCAGCAGTAGTTTCAACCTCAGGTGAGATATTGTGTGAGAGAGGATACTGAATGGCTGGACTGTTTCTCCTGTGCAAAATCTTGGCTCTTAGTTGAGGTTCCTCTGTACAATGGCATCAGGACGCCAAGAAGAAAATAGAAAATTAAGTTACATATAAAGGCAAGAGGAGTATACATGCGGCGAACTACTACTTCGGAGGTCCTTCAATCTGTAGGGTACCAATATACAGTCTTGTCATTTGACAGATGTTAGTACGCCAATTGTAGTATGCTTCCGGGAGTTCTGCCTAACAGGAATGGACGATATCTGCTATTTACATTGAACAAAATTAGTAAGAGCTATTGGTCAAGACAAACTTCAGTGTCCTGAAAATAAATATAACGACTGAAGCAAAAGGTTCAAATGTGGATTCTGAACTCTCAAAGTGCCTGATTCACCTGAGATTCTATAAGCTGCTAACAGGTGAAGTGCTTCAGAACTACACCGAACAAAGATTATACACAGCAAGGCAGCAAGATAATAGACAGCAAGGCAGCAAGCCCCATGCCAGCAATTAGGAAAAAAATGTCACTAGCCAGTAGTGCTACCATCTGAGCTGGGATCAGAGTTTTTCTTTTCTTTTCTTTTGGCCACGTTGAGTTTACAAGCTCAGGAAACAACATTGTGAGCCATGTTGCTTTGACGTTTAAAGGGAGTGAATCTAGCAACTAGAATGCCAATAAACCAGTTCTTAATCTAATAGTAAGTGACTAAAGCTGCAAATGATGTAGGACAGTCTTGACTTAACGTATAATAGAAAGTTATGAATTGTGACAAGTGACCATGCATACCTTTGCCAACTTGAATTGTGTTGATGACAACAAAGATTCCATCCATTGCCAACTTTAGCTTCTACAGACATTAGTGATTTTCTTTTCCTCATACTATGATACACTTCAAGCCATCGGATGGCTAAAAAGCAGCCAAACCACCAGTTACCTTTCGAAGCTCCAAAAAATGCCATCTGAATACTGATTCTTGATATTAGTTACCATGCTTGAGTCCAAGGTGTGGAGATCCAGACGTCAAGTCTAATGAAGGATTTAGTTTCACATGATCCACAAAGGCATGATGTGTGAAACGTTCAGATGGTGACAGCTTATCACGCAAATCAAAAACATTTCCAAGTCTCTTTCCAAACTGAGGGCTTAGAATGTCAGCTTCAGATACCACCCTCTCCTGAAGCCCCTGAGAGACTTGATGCACTCGAATAAATTGCCCAAGATCAGGATCTGTAGGCCGGCTGGCAAAGAGATCATCCGGGCTTCTTGATGGGATTGCAAATCCCTCGTTGCTGTAGGTTGATTGCTTCAGATGGTTAAAAGGAATAGCACCATTACCACCAGACAGAGGCGTGGAGGTGCCTGAAGTAGTTCTGGGGCTTGAAATAGGAGAAGGTGACATTCTGCCATTGGAATGTTGTGGGGACCTTGATTTTAGCAAAGGACTTCCACATGGAGAAACTGGACAAGATATATTGCTTCGTATACGGATATCACTGTAAAGTTATTTAAGGATTAGAGGCTGCACATATATAGGGAAGTTCACCGCAAATCATTTTCCAGGTAAGACTGAGTTTCACTGAAGAGAACACAAGTTACTACCATATGGCTAGTGGTGAGATACTCATTCATACTAGTGCTAGGATACTCATTCAACTTAGATTAGCCATTTTTTTAACAGATAATACTTTGTACTTGCTTTATTGCACACATTGTTTGGACTTAGGACTAATACTATTAATAAACACAAATTGGGAAATGATGTACCTGTGTTTTGAAGAAAATTTTGCACCTCTTCTCTGGTAAATTGTCTGACCCTCCAATCCCAATGAGGAAATATTTCTTGTATGCGCAGCCATCTGAAAACTCAAATAATACCAAGCAAAGTGAACAGGCCATGAATTATCCATGTAACCATGTTATGTCAGTTATGGCAGTATTCAAGTGGTACCTTGGCGCTCGATCTACAAGATATAACAGCCAAATGTTCCAATGGTTCAGAAAGAACAGATTTCTCTAGTGATACTGCTTTTTGAACAAATGGGTGCTGCAAAAGCTCCATTGCAGTGGGACGTTGAGAAGGATCACGTTGCAGGCACTTTCTGATGAAGTCCTTGCCTGGCTCTGAAAGGTGATCTGGTATTGGTGGAAGTTCCTTGCTATTTCCGATCTTGAACATTGCAGCAATCTGCAGGAAAGAAAAGAGGGGAAATGTTCATGCCAAAGTTGCTTCGGTGAAACTTCCAAGTCTCATTACGAGTCAAAAGAAGGAAGTCTTTACATTTCAAGCACCTTTCATAAAATTGCATGCAAGTAAATGATCTTTCAACATTCTACATCAGACAGTGATAAATTCTTAAAGAATTCATGAAAAGAACATTTCCATATCCCATTCACTCATGGCGAAAATCACCATAATTAGGTTATCTATATTATAGAACAAATAAACTGTGCCTCAGAAGTATAATACTAACCCCTTCATACTGGCTCCATGGCGGTTTCGATGTAGCCATCTCCAGGACAGTGCATCCCAAACTCCATATGTCAACAGCTAGGTTGCACCCATTTGAGTTTTTTATAACCTGCGTATGTGTTGCATAGTATGTGATGTACAGAAATGGCAATAAGATATGCATGAAACAAAAAATTAACAAGTAAAGATTTTCAGTGATACCTCTGGAGCCATCCAATATGGACTACCCTTAAAGGAGAAAGGACACTGCTGCCCATTGATCTGCATAAAGACACATTTAATACGTATTAATGAGTAAAATACTTCCACATTATACAAAAGGCATTTTGTAACTTATCAGGAGTGAGGGGGCTAGCAAGGTTTCAAGCACCCTTAACAGCAGTACTCAATCAATGCATTAACCAGTGACAGGAGCTACAAGATCAAGTTGATATAGATACTGCTATATATTTTTTGAAGAGCTCGATATAATTCAAACAGTTGTGACTATGATATGAGGCATAGATGCAGAAATGGAATGACACGGAAAATAAAGTTCAATTGACAAAAGTCATTTTCAAAAAATTAAAGTGGGCAGAAAAACTTACATGTTTTGCCATTCCAAAATCTGCAAGCTTAACACGACCACTAGGATCTACTAGTATATTTGCACCTTTAATATCCCTGCAAAATTGTGATGAACAGGACTTATAATTACACCATAATTCCACCGATACAAACAAACCAAAGAAAAGAGAGAAAACCAAAGAAATTGCTACCTATGGACTGTATTCTTCGCATGCAAATAAGCCAACCCTGAAAGTATCTGCTGTGTGTAGCTGCGTATTGCTTGTTCACCAAGCTGTCCATACTCTTGTAGAAGTTTATGGATAGATCCACCAGATACATACTCCAAGTATATATAAAGCTTATCATCAACCTGTATTGGGGCACAAATAATAAGTGAAGCCAAAAAAGAAAATCAAAAGTGGTACATAAATAACTCATTAATGAAATCCTAGATGCTATCATGCAACTTCTTGTTACCCTTGGTAAAGGGAGGAAAAAAATAATTATATAATGACCAAACAGGAAACAATAATTGAGTTAATGGTTCCAAGCAAAGGAAAACCTAGCCTATGTAAACAGACTGAAGGCAGCATTTATACCGTTTCTGATCCATAGTATTGTACGATATTTGGATGCTGTAGGCGGCTCAATAGTGATATTTCCTGAGAAACAAAAAAAGAAAAACAGGGAATCATATATTGAACAGGAAAAGACATAATCTGAACTTCTTTTGCAACTGTAGGTTAAAGCACAATCAACAGACTATACCTGCCCCAACTGCTTTGCACTTTCCTTTGATTTAGGATCATCCAAGAATAGGGTAACTTCTTTCATCGCACACATTTCACCACTATCACTGATATAAATGGTAAAACCACATTAGGAGGACAAATCATTGTGGGGACACCGAAGTTACATGGCCCCAATCCCCTCCCCCAGAATAGAGAACAGTAAGATAGCCAAAATAGAGCTATATTCCGAGTTACATGGTGTCTTAGCTAAGATCTTACAAAAATTCCAAGATGCTTAGTATATTCATAGTACGTCATATGATTTTTTAAAAAAAAATGAAATTTCAAAGTTAGGAATATTCTTACCTGTTAAAGCCAACATATACATGACCAAATGTTCCACGGCCAATTAGCTTCCCCTTCTTCCATCGTGACCCAGGACTTGGTGGATTCTCAGTTCTACCAGGGCTGCGAGGTACTGAAATAGGACTAGTTGGAGTGGAGTTATTTGGATGAAATGAACTGTGAGAGATGCTCAGTGGTGGTAGGGGAAGTTTGTGAGTTTGCTTCTTCTTCCCATCATCATGACGGTTTGTTGGAGATTCAGGGGCCATCCCTCCAGACCTTGGATGCAATGGTGAAACACTTCCACTATGCACCCTCGAACTAGGGCCAGGACTTGTCATTCTTGGACTTGGAATTGGTGAACACTCTGGGCTACTTCTGCTGGGCTGCCAAAAGAGCTGGGCTAGCATATCACCACCCACAGAATTATGCCCAGATGTTTGCCCTGAACCTGGACTGGAACATTGACCAGATCCAACAAAAGTTACATCTGTGTGAGGTTTCACTGCCCAAAAGGCCGAAGTTGGAATATGATCAGGACATATTCTTCTTGGACTTCTAGAAGGACTTGACATCAAACTATTGGGAGCACTATCCAGAACTAATGGGCGGGGATTTTGTAAATTGGATTGGTAACTGTCAGCTGCGACACCCCTTGGTGATGTGGATAATATATGGCTACCATGTACTTGATTAGCTGGTCTGTGTATCTCCTTCATATTCTTTGCCGTAATAGGTCCAGGACATTCTTTGCGCGCATTACTTCAGAAAGAGAACAAAAGACATGTAAGAGCATGTTTAAATGAAGAGCTGCATAAAGAATGCACGACAGTAAGAAGCATACCTTGACTTGTTCTTTAAAGTAACAAGTGTTGCATTTTCGGCATCATTTCCAACAGGACTCTGAAGCTGAGAATCCCCATGATCATCACTATCAGAACAGTTACTAGAGGGAGAAGCAACCACTATTTCTGAAACAACCTCACTATTTCCATGCCTCCTCGGAGGCCGGTTGGGTTTAGGGAGTGGTAGAAGCAGTGGTGGCTTGCCACGTTTTTCCAATATGGGCTTTGATTCAGTGATATCAGAAACAGTCCGAGTCACTGGAGGACGTACTCCAGGAATAGGGAGGGGATGGGCATGTGGTCTATCAGCTGAAAAGCTTTGGCAGCGAGAAACTTCTTTTGACGGTGAAGTAGGACGTGACACTGTGGTAGATCGGCAGCTTTTTTCAACAGATGAATCATTGCCACGTCTACAACTCCGTTTCGACTTCGTGCTTCCCTTTTGATCATTTGGACTTATCAACCGATGAAATGTATCGATGAGGTTTTCTTTTGTGGTTTTCTTAGCATCTTTTGAGAAAGACTTCCCCCACCATGGTGGCATATTGAATATGAAATAATTTGTGGTATGTCTAATTGGCTAGGTACTAATCACGGTGTTATTCAAGCTGATAATTACCATATTCTGCCAATCAGATTAACATGTGTAGCGCACGATTTTCTTAACAACCCATATAGAACCCCCAGCTTCCGCAATGCACTGGCAATGGAGCTAGAAGCAGACAAATTGATGACCACAAGGTGGTGTCAGGCACCTTCTTTACCCCCAAAAGGCTGAAATACATATGGTAACAGACATTTTAGCATTTACTATTAATGAAAAAATTGCAGGATAAAAACAATGGGTTATTCCATTTATGTTTTTCCTAGGTAATTAGTGTGATTCAACACCAGAAACAGACTGCCCATAGCATTATGAGTGTTTTATGATTATTCTTTCAACTCAATCTTTAATCAGTAAAAGCAACCATTGCAAACTCAATGCAAAATGAACTACAATTATAAGAAGAATCTTTTTTATTGCTTAACCACACCAATCGCTTATTTAAGCCAGTCATAAATTAGATAAAGAAATTATCTCCACTGCCATCAATCATCCATGGGAGTGCAATATATCAAGTATGTTTTGGTTGAATGGCATAACACTGTGCTAGAAATAAATAATGTTTCAAACTTCACTCAAGGAGTTGTCAAGGTCACAGTTTTCAGTAAAACACAACGGCATAATCGGTGGTGCCTCCTAGAACTTCAAATGTATCACCAATAGTGATAGCCTGCGTGCATGGTTCAGTCGCTCATTCACATGGGAAGGATCACATGCATATTGTACAAGGCAACATATACACCTAAACCTAAAGTAGGTTCTGTTTTTTTTTTCTTGAATACACAAGAGAGTTGCATATCATTTCATTAAGAGAGAAGAGGAAACACGGGATGGGAGCTGAAACGCCCCCACTCACCACAAACACATACAACGCTTACATTTAAATGACACCTTACCCAACCGGGGTTAGCGACCTAAGAAACTCACTGAGTTTAGAGGTTCCAGCCATGTACCAAAGACCACACTCATTTGCCACCGATTGGATGATAGCCAAAGTAGGTTCTGTTTGGAATTACACATTACATTCTATAAAGCCCCCCAGTATACTGCATAACCTAAAGTTTCGTGGCGATACATACAAAATACACCACTCGTGATAGAGCACCAGGTTTCTGGGTGTAAGGTGAACTTTTGCAGCTGAATTACAATCAACGAAACCCAGTGTTCTGTTTGGCCATGTGTACTATTGAGCTTTGATGCTGAGAGAATTCCATGCTTACCTGAACCCCAGTTGATTGCACTACAGTCTAACGAACTAACAGCGACTTAAGGCCTGATAGTTAACATCCGCAGAAGAATCGGCACCCGTCCACAAGTCAAACCACAGCAGTCGCAATCGTAAACTCCCAGCAATTCCATCGCACGAGAGCTAAGTCCAAGCTAACTCTAGTACCCTCGAGACGAACCTACATAAGCGCAGCCAGTTACCACCTCTCGGGAGCAATCGATTTTGCCCTCCAACCGCGCGCTCAGATCTCAGCACAAATCCACACGCCTCAGATCCACGGCGAGCACCCCCTTTCACCCACGAAATTTACCATCCCAGCTTCCCAGCCCAGCGCGAGCAGCAGCGTCCACAACCAGAACCCACCCCCCAAAAAACGAAGCGAGCAGAGCGGAATGGCAGGAGGAGGAAGGAGGCGAGCATACCTTACCGGCGCGCCACCACGGCGAGGCGAGCTCGCCGGCGGGGGGGAGATCCGACAGGCGGAGGGAAAGCCGGAGGGGAATCTGGAGGCGGTGGTGGTGGTGATGGTGCGGGCAAAAGGAGAGGAGGAGCTCGCGGAAAGTGGGGGAATCGGAAAGGGGAGGGGGGAGAGGAGGGTAGCAACGGAAAAAGGCCCAGGCCGACGAGGTGAGGAGAGGAGGAGGCGGTTTTGTTCGAGGAGAGTGGTGTTGGCTTGTGCTGCTCGCTCGGAGAGGAGAAAGGAGGGGGAGGCGACGGTGGAGGTGGAGGTGGAGGTGGGATCGGGTGCGGCACGGGATTCCCTGTGGCCGGTCTCCCGCCGTCCGCTAGGACGATGTGGTGGGGCGCAGAAGATCCCGCTGGCGCTTTGGGGATTTATTCTCCTGTCGCCTTTAAAATTTGTTTTTCGAAAGCTTTTTGCGGATTTATTTCGGCGCATCGGGGTAGCAACGGTTCTTTTTTTCCCCCTGTGTTCTGTGTTCCCAGGCGTGCTACCGCAGTACCGAGTACGCTTCGAGCCTCGATATGGAGGGGATGTATATAAGGCGCCGTTGCTACGGACTACGGTAGCTTCATCGAGACGGTCCGTTTCTGGATCTAATGGTTCCTTGACCTCGTCTATTTTGATCGTATAGAATTTGATATTTTTTTTATACAGAGGGAATACACATGTACGGCGATCGCTAATCGGCGCGCGCGCCGGCGGCGCGTGTTTCAGGCCCATGGGGCCCAGCACCGGGCGCGCGCCCCTCCTTCGACGTTTTTTTTCCGTTTTTATGTAGCGATTTTTTTCGTTTTCTTTTCCACTTTTTTCTGATTATTTTTTTAATCTTTAGCATGATTTGAGTTTGAAAGTTTTAAAATTTTGAGTTGAAAATTTTTAAATCTGAACTTGAAAGTTTTCAAATCTCGATTTGAATTTTTAAAAAATTTTCAAATCTGGACTTGAAAGTTTTTAAATCTAGACTTGAAAGTTTTTGAATCTCGAGTTGAAAGTTTTCAAATCTGAAATTGAAAGTTTTCAAATTTTTTAAATCTGGACTTGAAAGTTTTTGAATCTCGAGTTGAAAGTTTTCAAATCTGAAATTGAAAGTTTTCAAATCTCGAGTTGAAAGTTTTCGAATCTGAGTTGAAAGTTTTCAAAATTTGACTTTAAAGTTTAAAACTAAAATCGAAAATTTTCAAATCTAACTTAAAAAAATTTCAATCTGTTAGTAAAAAATTCTCCCAAAAAATCTCCAAAATCTTTTCTAATTACTATCATTAGTGTTAAGTGTATTAACTGATAGAGGTAGTTAAGTATACTAACTAGAAGTGTTAATAGAGTAGGTTAATAGGCGAGGAGTGCTCGCTAGCCGCGCGCACGCGTTAGCTAGGAGGCCCCCACATGTACAATGCCATCAGCATGCCTATCGTTACTATTATTTGTGTATGAGAAATGTTTCTAATATTTTTGTGTTTTAATACCTTTGTTCTAAATAGACCTTTCACAATTGTACGACGGCAAACATTTTAGATTAACTTTTTAACAAAATGTCAAAGAGCAATTATGATGAACTCCTCTATAAATTTTTTTGTTGGATCTATAAAATCTAAAAAAAATAAAAAGAGTTGAATTTAATTGGTGATTCGGTGTACAATTAAACCGAGTATAGACGAAACTAGTAGTTGGATTATGGATAGTCATGCAAAAGAGTATAACTGATTCACCGGTTTTAAAATATCAACACGTGGTAGCATAACCATGTAAGGTTATAGCTACATGGTGCAATAAAATTGGTTCATTGATTTACGGTGTGTTTAGTTCACGCTAAAATTGGAAGTTTGGTTGAAATTGGAACGATGTGACGGAAAAGTTAAAAGTTTGTGTGTGTAGGAAAGTTTTGATGCGATGGAAAAATTGATAGTTTGAAGAAAAAGTTTGGAACTAAACTCAGCCTTAGAGAACCTAAGTCAGCAAAGTTCAAGTCGCCAAGTGATGGATCAAAATAATCATAACATCTACAAAACTTGCGCCATGGTATTTGATGTTCTACTCCATTGATTATTTAATGATGGAGATCACAAAACTTACGCTTATCTTCTTCTCACTTAGTAACTCCAGCGTAGAGCACTAGAGCCTTAGATGATCACGTTGTGTTTTAGGCAATCGTGTTACACTACACCATCTATCTCTCACACATCTACATTCTATCATTGTAGCGTTGCCATATACTTAGGGTTTGTTCGTTTTAGGGAAAAAAACAGAGGATTTGAATTCCTAGGGATTAATTCATGTGAGTGTCGTTCGGTTTATAGCATTAAAGTATAGGAAAACCAAAGAAAAATTTACTTTTCTACAAGTTGTATAGAGGAAACATGGAAATTTTTCCATACACTCAAACTTCTTATAAAAATTCCTATGGATTGATGTGCGCAAACATTTATATTCTTTCACTTTTCATGTTCCTTCAAACCGAATAAGTCCTCAGCATTGAGAATGTAATATTACTAATGGAGAACTTTTGAAGTACTACACTTTCACTCGCTACACAAAAGAAAAGGGATGTCATTTCATCATTCATCGATTTAAAAAAGACGCGAATATTAGAGAATGATATAATATCAAATAATTAGAAGGGATGAGGTTTTTAACCCAGATCATCTAGCCACCATCTTTTGGAGCTAGTTGGAAAACACTAGACGTTTCCTCCATCGTTCGTCGATCTCGCCGTGATATTTTGGCTAAAGATAATGGTTTCATTCAATACACTAATTAACTACTCCTGTGTATTTGCATGTACTCCGCGCGACAGCAACGTCAGGCGTACACATCCAAATACCCAATGAAAGATGGGGAACGGCACTACGGCAGAGAAGGATATTTTTAAGGTACCCTTAGAGTAATACTGGCCGTCCACTCTTATCGATCTAATGGACCTGATCTTCTTCTACTGTCAGTAGTAGTATGTGCAGTAGAAACCACGTGGAGGGCAAAACCGTAAAGAAAAAAACACAGTAATATTACGCTTTATCGGTGATTAGATGGAATGGGCTCGAAATGTGCGGTGAGAAGGCGGCGGCGGCGAAGGCAGGATGTGATGAGATCGGCATCTATGTCGCCGTATGGTGGCCGTCGCTCTTCCGGCCTTCCTCTACTGCCATATACAGATTTAATTTTGATGCTTGCACTCGCTGGTTCAGCGCATTGTGGCTGTGTCGCGCAAGCCCAGCCAGACGAGGTCAGAAGCTGCCCGGCCAGGAGCCGTTTTAATCCGCACAAGCTAACTCGATTGTAATTAGATTCACATGCCGTTAATGAAGACTTAATCTTGATTCATGAGTGATGGAGTTCTATTACGGAGTACCAGTTAATTCGTCCGATTTTGCTAGATATTTGTCATCAAATTTCTCCCCCTAATATTTGTCAGATGTAATTACAGTACAATCGTAGTGTAATTACACTGTAACTTGCATGTAATTACACTGTAACTATAATGTAACTTGTATGTAACTTTCAAGAATCTCTCGGTAACATGTTATTTCAGTAAAATAGAGGTCGTGGGAACAAATTCTTTCATATATGTGTGTGATGTGATTTTTTTCTTCCTCCATAGAACAAATCTTGTAATAGATCTAACGATTCAAAATTACGTGAAACTTACATATAAGTTACACTGTAGTTACATACAAGTTACAGTGTAATTACATACAAGTTACATTGTAATTACACTACGATTATACTATAATTACATCTGTTATATTTTTAGTAGAAAATTTGTCGACAAATGTATAGGTGGTCCCAATTCGTCTCCGCGATGGCCAAAAATTATCAGACGGCAGCTGGACCAGTCTTCGATGCGGCAGTAATTCGCCGGCAGAGCACACACAAGAAATGTGGCCAGCATAATCGGCGATGCCGACGCCGTCCAACGGGTCGCACAAATGGGAGGTTGACCCTTCCGGGTTTCTCGGCGGCTACACCGGCGATATAACTTTCTCTAATAGATAAATGGTCAGAAATACCCTTACAATTTACAGGATAAAGTAAAAATTATCGTATAAATCAACGGTCAGTTTTGATTTATACTACCCTACTGCCATCGCTAGTAAAAGGTACTGTAAAATGACCCGCAGAGAAAGAGCTGTCAAGCGACATCGCCATCAGCAGATTTCATGATCAGCCAGTTTATTCATTGAAACTTGGCAAGTTGGTATTGCAGGTAGCTCACCAGTGAAGACGGTGCAGACAGCAGCAGCATTGAAACGCCGATTGCAAAAATGATTAGATCGACGAAATGCCAAATGCATCGAAGAAAGTCCTGAGCGATCTTTAGGGTGTGTTTAACGTCAAAATTAAAAGTTGGGTTGAAATTGAAACGATGCGACGGAAAAGTTAAAAGTTTGTGTGTAGGAAAGTTTTGATGTGATGGAAAAGTTGAAAGTTTAGAGAAAAAATTTAGAGTGTTTACATGGAAAGCGACTGCTGTACTGCTCATGTTCATCGACATGGTCGATCGATCGAGACTTCCATCGAGAGAGAGGAAGCTAGAACCGTGAACACCCACTACATGCATGCAATGAAGTGTTTGACGAGTAGCTATCAACAATTAAAATGCCCAAAATTAAGAGAGATTAACCAATTGATCGACATGTTTCAGCTCTCTGAACAAGCAACCATCCAACAACAATTGGCGGCACATTAACACAAACCGCCCAGACGAATTTGGACTTGCCAGTTTGGGTTACACACAGGAGATTAATTATTAATTATTGCTCCTTAATTTTGGTGGCTGCACAACCAAAATCATAGTACTACATGATCTAAGAATCTTAGGTTTGGAGTTTTCTTTAGACATTTCCTCTATCGACTGGTAATGAACTGTAAAAGCAAGTGATTTAAATGACCTCACCAACCATACAAACCCTTTAGTAATTACTATCTTGGACTCTCATCTATCTACATATTTTTTTGCCATTTCCAATTGACTTCGTCCAACGCCCGGGATCTTCTAAGCGCAGGCCGCGGTGGCGCGCGCCGCGGCGGCGTACTCCCCGGCGCCGCGGAGCTCGTCGACGATCGGGGCGAGGTCGCGCGGGCGCACCTCCATCCGGAGCCCGTGCTTCATGAACAGCGTGAGCGACATCTTCTGCTCGACGCGGTGGCCCGGCGCCACGGCCAGGCGGTGGCGGAGGAGCACGCTGCCGGCGATGTTCCTCATCTGCAGGTACGCGAGGTCCTTCCCGAGGCAAATGCGTGGCCCGGCGTTGAACGCCACGAACCTGAACGAGTCGTGCGGCTCGAACTTCGTGCCGTCGGCCGACAGCCACCGCTCCGGCCGGAACTCCAGGCAGTCGTCGCCCCACACCGTCTTCATGCGCCCCGCGGAGTAGATGGAGTACGTGACCGACGACCCCGCCGGCACGAACGTGCCGTCGGGGAGGACGTCGTCGGCGACGACGTGCTTGGAGTCCTCCGGCACGGAGGGGTACAGGCGGAGGGTCTCCGAGAGCGCCGCTTTGAGGTAGACGAGCTGGTCGAGCTCCTCGAAGTTGAGCGGCGCGGCGAGCCACAATGCCGGGTCGTCGGCGCCGCGCGACGCGGCCAGGACGGTGCAGAGCTCGCGGACGATCTTGCGCTCGACGGCGGGGTGGGTGGAGACCAGCCAGAAGAACCAGGAGAGCGCCACCGAGGAGGTGTCGCGGCCGGCGAGGATGAAGTTGAGCGCCACGTGCTGCAGCGACTCGTCGGAGTAGGTCCCCTTCCGCATGAAGCGCGACAGGAGGTCGTCGTGCGGCGTGGCCGACGACGCGTCGCCCTTGCCGTTGCCGGCGGCGAGCTCGAGCTTGCGCGCCTTGATGACCGCCGAGAGGTAGCGGTCGACGTGCTGGACGCTGCGCGCAAGCGTGGTCTCCATGCCGAGCCCCATCCACTTCTTGAACCGCCACACGCACTCCGGGAAGATGAAGCGGTTGAGAGTGGCCTCGGTGGCGCGGTCGAACGCCGAGGCGAAGTCGTTCTCCGGCAGGCCGCGGGCGAGCGTCTCGGGGTCCTTGCCGAACGCGAGGCCGCAGATGTTGTCGAAGGTGAGGCGGAGGAGGAGGTCCTGGAGGTCGACGGTGGCGCCGCCGCCACCGCCACCGGCCGCGGCGGCGTCGGACAGGATGGGCAGCAGGCGGCTGTGGATGGACCGCGACACCCACCGCGACATGGCGGTGCGCAGCGTGCGCGTGGTGAACTCCAGCGCCGCCGTCTTCCGCTGCGCCACCCACGTCTCCCCGTCGGAGTTGAAGATGCCGTCGCCGAGGAGGTCCCCGAACACGCCGTGCCAGAAGGGGCCCTTGGGGTAGTTGTCGAACCGGGACTTGAGGACGTGCTCCAGGTTCCTCGGGTCGCACGTCACCGTGACCAGCCCGCCGCGGCGCGCCAGCCCGGGCACGGCGAAGATGCACGTCTGGTAGGTGCCCCGCGTGCGGCGGAGGTTGGCGGCGATCCACTCGTGCATGTCCTCCGCGTGCCGCACCAGCCCCGGCAGGCTCCCCACCACCGGCCACACCCTCGGCCCGCTCAGCCCGCGCGACATCCTCCAGAACCACGCCATGTACGCGGCCACGGCCGCCACGACCACCGCCCACGTCCCCGCCTCCATCACCACCACCACCACCAAGCTAGGCTATGGCGATCGATCTATAATAAGTGAGCTCACATGCATGGGCCGGGGCAAGCAGCGATAGATAGCTAGCAGCAAGGACGAGAGAGTGTGTGTGTGTGTGACTGTGTGAGTCGCCAGTGGCCAGCTAGCGCCCCTGACCTGAGATCGAGAGAGAGAAGCGAGACGATATATAGGAGTAGAACCTGCCCGAGAAGCAATGCGATGGATGGCAATTAATATACAGAAGGGAAAAATATATATATACAGAGTTGCCAGGATGCCACTCTACTCCAGCTGCAAGTGCATGCTCGGTACAGTATATATCGAGCGTCCGGGCGGACCATAAATCGCCGGCAGGGGCCGTTGGGTGGCCGTCGATCGATCGAAGGCGCGGCGCGGCCAGTGCGCGCGCGTCGCTTGCCTGCCTGCCGGTCGCTGCGGCTCTCACCTACGCCATTCAATGCATCGGCGGGCGGCACACCGAATTGAAGCCGTGATTTCAATGGCGCGCGTACGGCCGCCGGTTGTTTGCTAGTAGCTCGACGCATTTTAACCGCGCCAAGTTTTAAAAGGATCAGCCAGTAGATCGACCTGTTTTACGACGCTTTCCACTGCGATTTGGTGATAGTAATATGCTCTGAGGTGCCAGTATCATGCAGATGACGGCAGGGCCGGATGCGAGTAGATGGCCGGGGGGAGTGAAACTGGCCAACTGACCAACGGTTTCTCGGACTGTCTGGGCTAGTTTTGGGACTTTGGGGGTGTGAGGTGGTTTTGACGAAGGCAAAGGATAGGGATATCATGGTCGCCTTTGGAGCGTCAGCAAGCGGAGGCGTGTGATCGTGTCAAGCACCAGCTAGCACCCGGGTTGACGATGGTTTGGAGGGGTTGGGTCACCGAACGACCAACGTCCCAACCTTTCACAAAAGCGTATAGCTCCCAGATCGTACAGAATGTCGCGTAGTTTGTGTGATTGTGTCATTTCTAGTACTAATAAACTACTCCTTCCGTCCCTAAATATAAAATTTTGATGTACCACATCTAATCAAAATCCCTTATATTTGTTTGGCAACGTGAGAGAAGAGGATTAGGAGTTTACACGAGGGAATTGATGGTGAGATTAAGATGAGAATTTGATTTTTAATCCCAGTATCTTGTTTGGTGAGGTGGTGGAAATTGATAGAGAGTTCAGTTGAAGATTAGATCATTAATGAAAACGGATGGCTGAGATTCGTGTAGACAAAATAAACGAGAAATTCTCTCCCAATTAACACCCCTACGCAGGTATTGAAAAGGAGAGAATTCCTCCCTCAATTTCCCATCCCCATCCCACCAAAATTCACATGTATCCCAACAAAACAAAACAGTTAATAGCCTCGTCCCTGTAAACTCCCAATCCCTTTTTAAAAACTCTCTATAATCAAACGGGCCGAAGGATGGAGAGGCTACTGCCCCGGCAAAAAAAAAATAAAATAAAAACACTACTGGTAGGACGTAGGAGGGCTTCCTGCTCTGCTGGTGACGTGCCTAGCCGCGTGCGCTTGCGTGTGTGTGTATGTTTTGTGTTGCGGACTTGCGATGCGTAGCGAGGAGCTCTTGGGCTTTCTGGGCCTAGTTGCCAACAAATCACATGATGGGCTTATTGGGCTGGATCAGATCGGATGTCCAGGCTGATGGGGCCGCGACGGTCGAGGAGGACGGCGGCTCGCCGCCGATGTCCCGAACACTTCACTAGTCCAACCAACCGCCGCACGCCGCCCCCTGATCCCCTCGTGGCCTCGTTGCCGTCGTGCGCGGTGCGCCACCTCCACGGCGCCGCTCGCCGTCGTCCCCTCCCTTCTTCCCGTCCTACTCTCTCGGTGTGCGCGCTCTCCGCCTCCGCCTTCCAAGGTTCCCCTCGCGCTCGCCGTCTCCTAGATTTGGAGGAATTTTTTGTTTCTTTTATGTGTTTGTTTTGAGTCGTAAGAACAAGGATTTGGTTATCCTGACACCAAACAGCGGGAGCAAAGCTGGAAGGATGGAAGAGGGGGAGGCCAAGAAGACAGGCCTGGAGGGCACTGGGCTGTCGCTCCCGGGCAGCTCACACGGCAATCTACGGAGCGCCGGCAGCGACCAGCAGCTGAAGCAGATGCTGGACTCCCTCAAATCGTCCAAATCACCCGTAAGTATGGCTGCTCCTCCCCCTGCATCCGCCGGCGACACCTCTCTGTTTCCTTCCTTTAAGAGCACGCATGGAACAACATGTATTATCCGATGCTGGTCAGCTTGAACAGGTTTAGAGGCTGCCAACGTTTTTGTCCTTGGGTACAATTGGTAGGCACAATATTGAATTGGGATAATTTGTGTTTTTTTTTGTTAAGTGATTTTCACATTAAATTTAGCTACTGCACAAACAAAGCCCTCCTGCCCGCAGCCTATTCTAGAAATTTGGTGTATGGTGTTCATACTGTCGTATTGAATCATCCGGGTCGATTGCTTTCGGTGCAAATGATAATGAAAAACATGAGTAAATGCACTATGCTGATGTGATTATAGTATGGATGAACATTTGTTGAAGTCCAGGAATTTATTTTGATTGAAATTTTTGGATTCTTCTTTTGCAGGCTGTTATCAACTATGGTGCCTCATGGTATGTAACCTCTCTCTCGCCATGTGTCACTTCATAGTTTACGATCCAGCGATGTGAAGATTATATATTACGAAGTGCAAATAACGGTTCATCAATCTCTGGATTATTTGGTAACTTCATACTAGTATTCATATTTGCTGATGTGACTATTTGAGTTCAATTGAGTAATCAGCAGCTGTTAGGAGTTAGCGGTTGTCATTTGAGTATGTATGCACAAGTATGAGTATTTAAACCTGTAATATTGATTATCCTGATGGACTATTGGACATTTAGCTGCCTAAGGAGTTAGGACTGACTAGATTTATGTTATGCATTGGTTTGACCTCAATATGACCACCTAACAGCTATAGAAAATCGGTCATCATTTGCTGTATATTAACATGTGTAAAGTCAAATTTGTTTAGCCCAGGATTTTTTTCCTAGCAATCCTGTATTGGTTAACAACATATAGGATACTGTATCTCTTTAACTCTGTGAATTACTCATTCCCTCCGTTTATGCAGGTGCCGTGTTTGCAGTCAGATTCTTCCACCCTTCTGCAGGTTCAGCAATGAATTCAAGAATCTTACCTTCATTTATGCTGATATTGACGAATGCCCAGAAACAACACAAAACATCCGATACACCCCAACCTTCCATTTCTACCGGGATGGAGAGAAGGTCGATGAGATGCTTGGTACAGGAGAAGAGAGGCTGCATGACCGGTTATGGTTGCATTCTTGATAGGGATTTGCCGGGCTGTTGGTCTCATGCACAATATTTTCTCTCTCTCTTTTATCCTACTTTCGTGCTTTGTTGTCAACCTCTGAGCCAATTCAAGGTTTATGTTGGTGTTTGTAATGTTGATCATGGTCATCTTTAGTGACATACACCATTATATATCAGAATTGGTGTACCGGTTTTTCTCTCATGCTTATGTCAAAACTGAGAAAGAATACCGTCGACATTACGATGCAAACATTTTTAGTATCGTCCAGTTTGTACGATGGTGCTGCTGCAGATTTCTGCTAATCATGTGTCGTGGAAATGGACTGGCCACTTATTATGTCAACAGTAACGCATCTGTGAGTACCTGAGCAGAGTTCCATCGCTTATACTCCTGCCCGGAGCTAAGAATAGAAGACAATTAGACAAACACCTCACTTTTCTTTCTTTTTTTTTGAAACGAAGGTGCAAATATGTTTCATTCAATCACCAAATCATTTACATCAGCTTAACTACTCCTACTACAATTTGTGAATCCGGTAATCTTCACTATAAGATTCTTCAGTAATAAGTAAATAGTTTGACTGCCGATACAAGCAGGTTTTGCTACCTTCGCATACCCTTCAGATGCAGGTGCCATATAAATCTGGGAAATCTCAAAAATCTAACTAGTACCGTTGTATCATCTAACAATCACCAAAAATGTGATATCAGAATGTTCTGGGACAAAGCCAGCGCTCAGTAGAAGCTTCATGCGAACAAACAGCATGATTACCAGGTAGAAACACGATTGACAGGATAAAGAAAAATCATGCGGTCAAGCTTCTAAATCAAAGTATCAGTAACTCTAGATCATAATGCAGCTAATTCAGGAACTCAAGATTTAGATTTAGGGATTCCAATTTTTAATTTTGAGGGCCTAGTTTTAGTTCTACTGCTGTTCCGCTCTGCCTTAATGGATGCAATCACAGCATCAGCCCCCGGACCAAGACCTTTCCTGCCAACTAATTTCACACCAAGCTTTTCACAGAGGTAATGCAGCCTCATTTCATCACCTCCTCTAACCTCTCTTAGCTCCATAGCCTGCTGTCGTGATAGTAATGTGTAGACATAAAGTTGTTGTTGCTGGTTGAAATGTGATTGGAGTTGCTGAAACAACAATTTATTTGAGTGGTGCTGGTCCGCCTTTCCCCCTTCAGTTGCACCTTTCTTTCTAGGGCCACCTAGTTCCACCTTCAGAATGGCTGGGGACTTTGGATCAGAAGCTTGTCCACCAAAAATGACAGAGAAGCTGCCAAATTCCAAATCTGGTTGCCTAAACAAGTCCATGAGTAGAGCAGCACAGGCCTGTGTATTTGTTGATGGACCTTTTTCAACTTTGCTCTTTGCTGCTCGGGCATTGGCATGGAGAGTGATATTTGCAGCCTCCCGCAGACCACTGATGAAAGCACCATGCATTGTTGCTGGATAACGTCTCGTGGTGGCCTCTCCAGCGAAAAACAACCGCCCATCTCCAACACTTTCAGCTAGTATGTCATAGTCATCTCCAGATGCTCCAACAGCAACATGAGAATACGAACCTAGACTGAAGGAGTCTGTGCCCCATCTAGTACAAACACTCTGCAGAGGATCTGGGACCTCAATACCTTGAGGTTCATAGATACCTGAGATACACAACATTCACCTTTTAGACAAAAAACCAAGGTTTTAAGCAGTCGAACCTATTGTAACAACATACTACATACATGTCTACATATATTTCAGTGCAGTTGCAGAGGTATGAGGTTAATGGAACAAAGAGTCTGTTGCAACTTGCAAAGAGTCACTTGGGTGAGGCATATTGAAGTACCACCTTATGCATATAGTCATATAGTGATCTAAAATACGATGATAGATTTTACATCGCTAGATGACCATTTACATAAGGTAGTAAAAAATTCTGATGGTAGCGTATTAAAAAAAAACTGATGATAGGAGATAAAGGTCTTACCTCTCAGTATCTTGAGAACAGAACTGACAGCATCAGTAGGGGGTGTGGTTTCAAAGTTGTGGGCAGCTTCACCAGCAACCAGTGCCATCAGCAATGGACCACCGGCCACTGTTGCATAACTATAGAACAGAAAGAACTCTCCACGATGACTTGGGTCTTCAGTCAGGTGTCCAAAGGTATCAAGGTCAGTGCTCCAGAAAACATGAGGAAACAACATTGCAACCTTGTTCAACAACCCAAAGCCTAGTCTTTTAATACTATCAAGTTTTCTCTGTGGCAGCTCAGGTACAAACTTGACGCCACCATTTTTCAGAACCCCAAGTGGAACAGTGCACAGCGCCATGTCGCCTTCATACACCTGCCCACCATTGACAACCACCTGAACCCCATCCCCTCCATAACGTATAGTGTGCACTGTCCTCTCGTAAACAATCGGCACATTCTCTGCCAGGGCCTGCACAAGCCTACCATTGCCGCCAGGCAAGAAACAGTGATCCCCGCCCATGTCATACGGATCGTCCTGGTCCCAGAATGCAAGGCTCAGCTTTGACAGCAACCCTGCATTAGCATACTCCAGATTTGCTAAGTGCCAATTGAACAAGTTCATCTCCTGGTCAGTAGAGAGATCGCCATCCGTCTGCCGTAACGTCTCAAGTGCAGCGCCAAGCGAGACATCCATCGCCACATCCCCCATTGATGCCCGTAGAAGACTAGACTTATCAAGAAGCTTGTTAAATGTACCCTCCACTTTCTTATCTACCTCTGGATCAACTGGTGACCCATCAGGCCTGTAAAGTGGGCACTTGTCCCTGATCTTGTGCATCGGCAAGCCGAGCTGTTTCGCCACAATGCCCAGCGGGTTCCCGAATGTGCCGGTAAGCACACTGCCGCCAAGGTCACCAGCAGCTGAGCGTCCACCTCCTTCCATCTTCTTGGTGTACACACGGCCACCGCACCGCTTGCGGCCCTCCAACACCACCACTTTAAATCCGAACGCCACCAGCTGCCGTGCCGCGGCGAGCCCAGCAAGGCCGGCGCCGACAACGATGACGGTGTTGTGCCTCGTGGGCTCCTTGGGGATGCGCTCCTTGATGGCGGGCGCCACGCCGAAGTTGATGTGGCCATGGGAGACGAGGAAGGAGTAGGCGGCGTTGAGGAGGTGGTCGCAGTGTGGCGGGATGAGCGTCGCGAAGGACTCCTTGGCGAGCCACGAGTTGAAGGTCTCGCGCCACCTGGTGAGGAGGTGGTTGCGGATGAGGATGTAGTTCACCTGCTCGATGCCGCCCACGTCGGAGACCACGCCCGCCTCGATCTCCTCGTCGGTGAGGGAGTCCGCCGGGAAGCCCGCGGTGAGTGCGGTGACCGCCTCCGCTGTCGGCTCCCGGTTGATCACGATGATGTCGTCGGCGGCGGAGGCGCGGGGCGGCGGCTGGGCGGAAGGAGACGCAGCGACGGCGACGGGCGCGGCGGGGGAGCCGGAGGGGAGCTTGCGGCGGAAGCCGGTGCGCTTGCGCTTGTTGGGGAAGGCGGGGTTGGGGAGGACAAGGGTGGGGGTGGACGCGGGATCGGGGGTTTGGTCGGGGTAGGGGTTCGGGGGAAAGGAGGAGAGGAGGGGGAGGGGGGTGTAGGGAGGTGGTTGGTCAGACATGGTCGCCGGCGGCGGAGGCAAAGCCGGCGCGCCTGCTCGATAAATCTGGTGGGGGTTTAGATGGGGATGGGAACGGTGCGAGTCGGAGCCATCTATCTGGTCGGGTGCGCGGCGCGGCTGTGCGGGACCTAGCGGGAGGTGGAAGACGGTCGGGGGCTCCAGGGTCCGTTTCGCTGTACTGGTTTCCGTCTTCTGAGATAGAATACGTAATTCCACGCTGTACATCATCAAGCCTTGTCAGATGGACAGGCTTTGATCCCAGATAAACCTTAAAATAATTTCTTCAAACTATTGGGATGACATAATGAATGCTTTTCACCCGCTGAGCTTGAAAGTAAGTTTGGATGATGCTACTCGCTTGTTTACCCCCGATAACCTTGAGCATGTTTCTTAAACCGCTAAATGATTTGTTTTTTAAATGTTTTTTATATATAAGTTTTTTTTTAAAAAACAAACAAATACATTTTCAAGTTTATATAATAATTAATACTCAATTGATTATGTACAATTAATACTCAATTGATTATGTACTAATAGTGACTTCATTTTGTTTTAAATGCCACTAAAAATCTAAGCCAAACTTCACTTAACATTACTCTACTCCCTCCGGTTTTATTTTAATTGACGCTTTGGACAATGACACGCTCTACAAGATATACCTTTGACCTTATTTTTCTATTATAATATATACAATACATGTTTACTTTTATTATAGTGTTTTGAAAGACAAATCTATATATATTTTTCTAGTTTCTTTAAATTAAATATTTTTAAAATTATTGATGGTCAAAGTTATAAAAGTTTAACCTCAACCTTGTCCAAAACATCAATTAATATAGAACCAGATGGAGTATGTGCATTGGGATTGGGGTGCAAAAGTGATTCCCAAATCCATGATATAATTAATAGGAATGTTTGCTTCAACTAAACTATTCTTGCCGCATGTATATAATGCTATCACTTCTGGATTGGAAGTACTACAGAAGTTTCTTGCAGCACCATTCAGTGATTTCCTCTGAATGGCCAAGTATAAAAATATGCATGATTTGCAGGAAGTAGAGTTTTTACCTTTTAGTTGAGGATTCTTCAACAATCAAAACTGACTGGTAAGTGATAACATATATACACTAATACACATGGTTCATTGTTGAATGCCCTTGGCTTCTTGAATCCAGTTGATGAAGAATTACAACAACAAATCAACATGCATGTATTCTTACATTCTGAATCGATTTCTTCAATATGCTCATGAAGTAATACCACTTTACATAACTGTACTACCCCACTACAATACTACATTGTGGCAATACTCTTGTTGCCAAAAGAATGGTCTGTCCTCAACATTATTACTTCACTACTATTAACAACCGATGGTTTCTCATGATTCTCTAAGCTATATGTGACTGAAAATGAATCCGTGAAAACACCGAAAAATGAGATAAGTGGATCTGCTCTTGCACCGTCAATAGATAGCTTCAGAAATTGACCTTCGACAACTGGAAATTGAAACAGCCTCTTGTAACCAATTGTTGTGCCTTCAACAATTGTTTGCCACAATTCATCCACCAAGATTTCCACACGGAACTTGATTACACGTTGTCCCATCTGGATAGGCTCCTGAAGCTGGATCACATTGAATGAAGCAGATTGTCCGAGATCAAAGAGCATTTCCCAGGAGCTCTGCCCTTCCTCTGGAGCCCAGTAAGAGTATATGCTTTCCTGAAGAACATTGGAGGGTGCAAACTGCTGATTGCCAAGGCCACCGCGCACGGTGCTTGCTGTGACAGTGGCATTTGCAGCAAAATTCTGAGAGAAAATTGTCTGCCGAATCTCAGTAAATTCCTGAAGGACTTGCATATCTTCAGTAGAAATTAAGCCAGACGAATTTGGGGGGACATTCAATATGAGTAGGCAGTTTCTACCAACTGATTTGTAGTATATGTCAAGCAGAGTTGTGGCATTTTTTGGTTTCTCTGAGGCATGCCAAAACCAACCAGGCCTGATAGAAACATCACATTCTGCAGGAACCCAGTCTTGCCCAAAAGGATCACCACAGCGTGAATATCTGATAATGAAGTTAGCATCTTAGTAAATAGACTGTTGAATTCTGAAATGTAGGATGCTTGTCAATAACAAGCAAATCTCTACCTCATCAAAAGTTTATCAAATCCAAAATAGTCCAGGCTGTAGAATTTTCATATGAGATGTAAATTCCAAAATAAAGATGAAGCACAAAATATATCTCATACTAGAAAAATGTAAGTCCATCACTGCTATAATTAGTTAATGAGCCAAGGGCACCATTCTAATTTCTGTACTGCACAAGGATTCATTGAACTCTGTGGACATTCTTGTGGCTAATTCCATTCTCTAAGGGAATGTAACATCTAAAGTCTAAACCACATACCACTGAAACTATTGATTGCACTGTAAATTTTCCTTATTGATGAGGCTACACAAGAAATTAATTTTTACAGGCTTTGCAATAGTAGTCTCTTACTCATGCTGTCGCTGTCACGCATGCACACTAAAATAATGCTGAATAGTAGCACTCTAATCAAATAATTTCAACAGCCTATTGTCATGAGTAATCTTCCTTAACTTCAAAGAGAAGAAAACCACATTGTTTGAGTGTTACAATTAGTTACTCATTTGAGAGGTCATCATTAGGTACTTTTGCAAGGACATCAGTAATTGCTTAAACTTTAAACTTATCACGGCAGACAGTTGGAAGGAATGCTTGGAGTTTTGGTCCTATGCATGATACAATTTTATCTTCCCACAAGTAAAAAGTTGTCTTGTTCCCAAAAAATATTTGCATTACATAATTGAAATTTCCATTGATGTGATTTGGGAGAACAATTTAGATAACTAGAAAAGCCTTTTAAGAAGTTAGGTACTCTGCAGACCTATTAGAGTTACTTAATTCCAATTCTAGCATTTTTATCCAGGGGACTAGGGATATGATTGATTAGGATCTTAATAGAAGTAAACAGCACTCTGTTTTTTCCCCAGCTCAATAATACTGTTACTTACTCAGGAATGATGTGCCCAATCGTCACCGTGCTCTTATTGAAAGGAGACCAGCAAGTATAACCTGCGACCCCTGCCTCATCTCCTACCCATCTTGTATCTGGTCCAGCATCTGAGAAGATGACAACCCTTTGCTGGAGCTGATGGATAAGTGCAAACCAGGCATCAAACATGTAATCCATGTCCTTGCCCTCTCCCTTTGCACCATCAAGCCAAACTTCCTCCACATCTCCATACCTGCACTTGTATAGTCAGAATCTTTACACAGGAGAAATCGTGTACAGTAATCAAATCGAGTGTATGTAGTTTACTCGAAGTCCAAAGCAAAACAATAAATGCGTAGGGATTAAACATTCCATTTTCATAGATAATTGCGTAGTGATTAAACATTCCATCATCATAGATAATTGGAATAAGGGTAGTGACTCATGAAAAAAGTGTAGCGACTTTGATTAAACAACACAAATTAAGCACTGACTACTCCCAAATCAAAAAACCCACTAATAAACATAACTACTTTTGATCACCAATTTCTGAAAAGGATCATGCAGAAATGCAATGTTAGTTTATGTTCCCACAAGCGCACAGCCACATCTGGATCGAAGCTCTCCTCAGCCTGAACCCAAAATTCAGTAGTCGACCTGCAAGATCCCCATTGACGAATACAACAATAATCTCGCAATTCGAACGCAATCGCTGACATACCTGGTGAGCAATTCCGTCATCTGGCCCAAGTAGTGCTCGTTGTACGCGACGGTGTCGCCGTACACCGGCTCGTGCCGGTCCCACGGCGAGAGGTACAGCCCCAGCCCGATACCTTCGGCGCGCGCGGCGGCGGCGAGCTCGCCGACGACGTCGCCGGCGCCGCCCTTCCACGGAGAGGCGGCCACCGAGTAGTTCGTCAGGGCCGAGGGCCAGAGGCAGAAGCCGTCGTGGTGCTTGGCCGTGAGCACGACGCGCCCGAACCCTCCCGCCGCCGCCGCGCGCGCCCACTGGCCCGCGTCGAGCGCGGAGGGCGCGAACACGGCCGGGTCGGCGCGGACGGAGCCCCACTCGGAATCCGTGAAGGTGTTGGGGCCGAAGTGGAGGAAGAGGGCCATCTCGGAGAGCTGCCACTGGAGCTGCGCGTAGGAGGGGACGGGGAGGACCGGCAGAGGCGGCGGCGTCGGGGCCGCGGAGCCGGTGACGCCATGGGCGCGGAGGAGGGGGAGGCCGACAAGCAACCCAAGAAGAAGAAGAAGAATGGTCGCCATTGTCACTCGGTGATCCCTCGATGAGGGTGTTCAGTTCACCTCAGCGTGGCGTAGAGTTGACTGCTCTATAGTTTCTGTTGTTGCCAACGGCTGATTATTGAAGAATTAAGAACACCGTCAAGAAATGATTAGCTATAAGCAAGAAAAAATCAGGGGAAATCTTGTAAATAATCTGAAAACATGGACACGAGTAGGGGAATGAATAATTGTGTGTGATGTCTAGCCGGATTTTTAATGATGTGAAGTTAAGAAAGAAAAAGAAAAAGAAAAAGAAGAAAATAATGCAATGGGTTAATTAACAGATGATCTAATAGATCACATACAGTATATCACTGCATATAATACCATCCATAACACTAAATCATTAATTATTTACTATTATTACGGATAAATCGTTATATCAGCTACATGTACATTATATTGATATGATGTGGAACGATTATATAAACCATAACCCATTGAACCATTGTTCAAGTCAACTTATGAAAGAACATGGAGTACAAATAGATTAGAGAATAATGCTATATTTTTATATTGTGGGAAAAAGAACAAATATATTAGAGAACGTTGCTACAGAGTATTTGTTAATCGGGTTGTTCACTGCATAACTTAATATTTTCTTCGAGTAAAAATGTTGCTACAGGGTGATAAATGATTTAACTTATTCTAGGATAACAATTATGGACAAAAATTATATTCTATTATCTTAAAAAAATTATGGAGAGAAATTTCAAATGATGTCGTCGTTGACATATGAATCCCATGCGATTTACACATTATATATAAAACTAGAATATTAATTATACAAATCTATCTGAAATAATTATGTTGATTATCTATATGCCACAATTTAGTATTACCGATTACTAATCGCCTTGCATACCAAATTGTTCTTGGAAAGTCCAATTATCTGTTACAAATATATGCATAAACGGAAATATATGTTCACTTTCCGTGGGGCACACAGACGAACACATCGCGGGGGATTAACCAGGCCACTCGTTCGCTCGCTCCCAGGAGCTCCTCCACTCCTCGATTCCCGAATCTTCCCGCCGAAGGAATGTGCTGGTGTGCGCCTATCGCCACCGCGCCCGTCGCCGGCGGCCGGTTCCCTCCGCCCTCTCTCCGCTGCCGCCGTCGTCGAGGGAGATCGGTCCGCGCGGACGCCTCCCCGGAGCCCGTCGACACGCAGCGGAAGAAGGTCGCCGTCGCCGGGGCCGGCTGGGCAGGCCTCGCCGCCGCGCATCACCTCGTCAAACAGGTCTGCTCTCGCTGCTCCGTGGCGCCGGATTGCTCCTGCTGCATTCGCGTTCTCGATTCGTAGCGGGCACCGCGCTCGTTCGCATTATCCGCTCGTGTGGGCGCACTCGCGGCGGCGGAATTTTCTCCCAAAATTTGTTTCCTTCGCCGTCTCTTTTGAAACAGCAGTGACAAATACGCATCTGCCAGTACGTGGAGCAGAGAAGTTTTGGTGGGTTTTGTTCTTCATCACTGTACTTTCCATTGATCAGGGATACGAGGTCACGCTTCTGGGGGCCGAGAGCGGCCCAACCGAGGAGATTGGTCTCAGAGGTAAAATTTTCTTCAGCTTTCAGTTTACAACTGTTAAAACTTGGTGTGCCAGTTCTGATTCAGTAATCCTTGAATCGTGGCATTGCACATAGGGTTTTGGTACCCATACCGTAACATTTTCTCGTTGGTGGATGAGCTCGGGATCTCGCCTTTCACAGGGTGGACTAAAGCTGCATACTACTCTTCACAAGGGCTTGCAGTACCTCTCTCTCTATGTTTTACTTGCGAAATCGTTTTTTCTTCAGCTTGAATGCCCTCAAAATTGTGATGTGCATGGATTTACCTAGTTTGATTACGAAACAAACTAGTATTTTTCTCTGTATATTTTAGTAGCTTTCTGATAAGATTGTAAAATCTGAATTACAGAAGGAATAATTTTCTTCTACCATGTGCATATTGAATTTAGCCTTATATTTTTGTGGTAGGTTTATTTTGTTAGTTTTCTTTTCTTTCAAAATTCCTCATAACTATTTGGATAACATGCACAAAATTAGAGGATAGCATGCCATGTTGTAACAATCCATCCCCATGTATCATGTTGTTTCACGCCGAACTTTGCTCTGAATTTAAATGATCTGAGGGACATTATTCTTCCTTTAACTCTGATAGCATTGCATTGTTCTGACCACTTGCAGGTGGAATTTCCCATTTTTCATGACCAGCCCCGATTACCAGCTCCCTTTGGAATGTTAACATATCCAGAAGTATGATTTATTCCGTCTGGATGTGTTCGCTGCTACCTATCTCTCCAGTCCCAACCACCCCATATTCTCATACTATCCTAATTTTTCTTTGTTACAGTTCCCAAGTCTTCCTTTAATTGATAGGTTGACATCGATTCCTGTCATGGCTGCAGGTATGCACGTCCATCTGTCCAGGTTCTGTCTTTAAATGCTAATGGCCTCAGTTCTAACCACTTATTTGTTGCTTTGATCTAGTCATTGACTTCAACAACACAGACACTGCTTGGATGAAATATGATGCAAGTGAGGAAATTTAGTACATATTGCACAATTTATAAGAGTTGACAGCTATAGTTATAGTAGATCATTTCTTCCTCATGTCTTATTGTCATATTTCCTGCAGTGAGTGCAAGAGATCTGTTTAAGATGTTCGGTTGCTCTCAAAAACTCTACAAGGAAATTTTTCAACCAGCAATTCAGGCCGCCCTGTTTGCTCCAGGTGAGCAATGCAGTGCAGCTGCAACACTGGGGATGTTGTATTACTATATGCTCTCTCATCAGGTTCTCTGTTCTGTCTTGCCCTTACTTTTTACCCCTTTTCTTTCTTCTTATCTTCATTCAAATTTACGTTGATCAACAAAGCTCTTTCCAATGATTTCTCAGAAATTCCCAAATTTACAGGAAAACTCTGATTTTTTGTTGTGCCGTGGGGAAGTGGAAGACATAATTTTCTCTCCTTGGTTGAAATCACTGGAACTGCAAGGCTTAAAATTCCATGGAAACAGAGTGCCAACAAGTTTGGCCATAAATAAGGACACTGCATGTATCTCTGGAATTGTCTGTGGAGAGGAGGTACATGAGGCAGATGCATTTGTTTTGGCTAATGGACTCTCTTCGCTACAATATATCATCAAGAACAGGTATATACAAGTTACAGAGGTAGTCACTGCAAGAATCTTGGGCCTGTTTCACCACTAATTACTCTCAGTAACTTGGAAGCTAAGATTGCTATAGAAATACGTACTGCTTGAGGAACAGCACTTTTCTTCACTTGAAACATGTCTTATTTTCATATATTTGAGTGCTTCTCTGACTATTGAATTTCTTCTATGGAGTAGTCCGTTTCTACAGTCTCGGCAAGAATTTGTTAATCTTCTTCATCTGTCCACGATTGATGTGGTCTCTATAAAGTTATGGTTTGATAAGAAGGTAATCGCAAGTGACAAAATATACTTCATTTGCCAAGAAGTAATACACATTGTTCTCACATATTTTGTTTTTGGTGATATGAAATGCCAGATCACAATTCCAAAGGTTGCCAATGTTTGTTCTGGTTTTGATGATCCATCTAGGTGGACATTCTTTGACCTTACTTCAATATATGATGATTATGCTGACAAATCAACAACAATTGTGGAGGCTGAATTTGTATGTTTCAACTTTAAATCAACTACCCCATAACAAATTAAAGCACTTCCTTCCAGGAGGTATCTTACTGTTATCAATCTCTTGTTGCAGTACAATGCTAGCCATTTGCTGCCACTGAATGATGAGCAGATCGTTTCTGAGGCTTCATCACACCTTATCAAATGCATACAGGATTTTGAGGAGGCTACCGTGATCCAACAATTGGTCAGAAGATCTCCTAAATCTACAATGCACTTCCTTCCAGGTAAAGTCAAACTTTAACCTTATTGCAGTACAAGTGCCTACAGGAATATTGCTCTTGATGCTCTTTCTTCGTGGGAACGACCCGTGATGACAAGACTTACACCCGTGCTAGCTCGTTAAACTGCATCATGCTTGATAAAAATAATCAAGCATTGGTTGTAAAATGATTATGTGATAGGGTTCCATAATCAGAACATACACTTGTGATCTCTTTCAGTGCACAGTTGTACACTAGCATCTTTAGTATTTATAAAATAACGCTCTAATTTACCTTACACTGTCTTTCTTGCCTCTTCGAAATACCTACTGTGATGCATATGCCATAAAAATTACATTACATGCAGGTTCTTACAAGTACACAGTGCGAGGATCAACTACCTTACCAAATTTGTTTATTGCTGGTGATTGGATAGTGAACCGACATGGGTCCTTTTCAAAGGTGACCGAGTAATATGTCACACAATGCTTTGGAGTCATTACAAATTTATTCATGAATTTAGAACTTTTATGTAGGAAAAGGCATATGTGACTGGACTCGAAGCTGCTAATAGGGTGGTGGACTATTTTGGTGATGGCGACTTTGCGAAAATAATTGCAGTTGAAGAAGACGAGCCTCATATAGAGACAGCACGGAATCTCAATAGAAGAGCCAACGAATTAAAGACTCAGATTCCTTTCTCGGAGTTCTTTCTCTAATCACATAACTGGGAGCTTTTCAGTATGACCATGAGATTTATGCTCTACAACTCATTCAGAAAAAAGGTCAAGCCAGTTCTCACTTCCCTTTTTCCCCTTATAGGTCAAACCAGTTTTTCGTACATAAAAAAAAAAGGTCAAGTCAGCTTTTAGTATGATCATGAGATTTATATTTCTTTTACTGTTGTGCATATTGACCTGACAGACCTTTGTCATTGACGCTTCAACTGAATTAAGTTAGCAATAATTAAAAAAGTAGAAAAGAAGGTATATCCAGTCTTCTGGAGTTGCGGTAGGTAAATTTCTTGATTCTATATATGTTTTTATTTGCATACTGGTTATCAACAAATACACATACTAGATCAAACCACAACAGCCAAAGCAACTGCTTTTGGGGTTAACTTTTTTGCGTTTCATCTGCTTGCAGCATATACTCGAACATGTCTATACAAATTTATTCACAAAGAGACCAGAGAGTTTCCTCAGGTTTGTATTCCTTTCCTCATCATTTCCACAAACTCTTCATAGTCAATTCTCCCGTCCTGTGAATTCGATGGAGGAAATAATTAAATCCATGGGAATGACCCTAATTAGTGAAAATAAAATACTTTAGGTATGCTTTACCTTGTCTTTGTCAACTTCATCCAGTACTTGTTTAATGTTTGCTTCATCACCCATTCCGTACTCTGCCATGGCTTGTTCCAGTTCATCTCTTGTTATGTACCTGGAATTGTTTTTCATGGTCTCTTGTTAATATATACTGATTTTTTAACAAACGAGTTTATAGCAAGAAAAATATGATGCAAGGAAAGCATGTGTTAGACATCGTTACACAATGAACATGATTGTTGCGCAGAACAAGTTCCAGTGTTGGTCAATTTAGAGCTCTTTATTCATGGTGCTGAACGAGATAAAAGGATGTGCATTGGCTAACAAAATTTATTTTACCCGCTGTTATCTTTGTCAAAATGTTGAAATGCACGAAGTAAATCCTCCTCCTTTTCCAGTTTATGCTTATTTATCATAGCTGTGAGGAACTCCGAGTAATCAATGCTGCCACTCTTGTCTACGTCAACCTGTACCACAGTATCACTAGTAAAATCCTTTTGTAAACTAAACCTGCAGCGAAGAGTTAGCAAAAGCAAATGATCTTACTGCTTCCATAAGCTTCTGAACCTCGGCTTCACTAATTCTTGATCCTAGCTTTGTCAGACCAACCTTCAGTTCTTCAACCGTGATTGTGCCACTTCTGTCTGTATCCATGTTATTGAACATCTGTTTCAAGCCCTTGATTTCCTCTGGTGATAGGTTCTCTGCAATTACCTTGAGATGAAAGGAGGCAGCGTGTCAATTTGATTTTAGCCAAAGCATAGTAGTTATCCCTGTTAAGGAGGATTCTCACCTTAAGAGCTAATTGCTTTAACTTGTTCATTGCCTTGAATTGCTTCATTCTTGATAGGACTGCGCTATCGATAGGTCTGTCAGATGCACCGCCTTCTTTGAGCCATCGATGTTCTGCAGCATGGAGACATCCATTTAAAGAGTTGGCTACACTGTATGTATATATACAGTTGCAGATAAATTTTACATTCATAACCGCAGATTAGAATAGCGAAACACAATTCAGGTGTGCTACCTAAGGCCTGCGATGCAGTAATCCTCTTCTGGGGATCTCTATGTAACATTTGTCTGATAAGATCCTTTGCACTTTCAGATATCGAAGGCCACGGGCTGGTACTGAAATCAACTTGGTTGACCAGTATAGCATCGAATATGCCTTTCTCTGTCTCTGCGCAGATATTCAAATTTGACAATTATCTCCACGATATACTTGATAGAATGTAGCAAAATTAGCCAAAGAGTAAATATGTACTATGGATATTTACCTGCCCAGAATGGGGGCGTCCCGCATAGAAGGATATACAATATCACCCCAGCGCTCCAGATGTCGGCTTCTTTCCCATAATTTCGTTGTAACACTTCTGGCGCCACATAATAAGCACTTCCGACAATGTCCTTGTACACTTTACCTGCATTTGTTGTTTTGTTGTTGGGGAAATTTTACCTTAGCTTGTACATATCTTGTTATGGCGAGCTAAGGTACGTGCATTATCTCTCGCAAGATCTTTCAACATGCATGATCGATGCATTTCTGCATCTGCTTTGATATTGTACGTTTCTACTCTTTAGACCCGTGCATTTCTAACAGCCAAATTAACTCATGGTGTTGATAAAGGGGGGAAAAGAAAGAAAGAAAGAGGTAGTGTAGCTTATGTGTGATATCGCGACCCTGACCTTCTTCGATGAAGACGGAGAGTCCGAAGTCGATGGCCTTGAGCGGCGCGTCGTCGTCGGCGCTGGCGAGCAGGAAGTTCTCCGGCTTGAGGTCGCGGTGTATGACCCCCATGAAGTGGCAGACGTGAACGACGGTGAGGATGTCCCGGCACACGGCAGCGGCCTGCCGCTCGGAGTAGCTCCCCTTGGCCGTGATGCGGTCGAACAGCTCGCCGCCGGAGCAGAACTCCATGACGAGGTGCACGTGGTCGTTGTCCTCGTACGCGCCCCTGAACTCCGCGATGTTGGGCTGCCCGCTGAGGTGCTGCAGGATGGTGATCTCCCGGCGCACGTCGTCCACGTCGGTGCGCCGCACCAGCTTCCGCTTCGACACCGACTTGCACGCGTACCGGTTCCCCGTCGCGCGCTCCGTGCACAGGTACGTCGTCCCGAACTGCCCGCTCCCCAGCTTCCGGTCCAGCTGGTACAGCGACCGCACGCTCACCATCGCCCTCTGCAGCACGGGGCCCATCTCCCCGCCGCCGCCGGACGCCCTCCGGGACAGCGCCCCCGCCGCCGAAGACGAGCCCGTCGGCGGCCGGTGCGGCGGGGCCCCGTGCCTCGGGAAGCTCGGCCGCCGCCACGTCCCCGGCTCATCGCCGCCACGCGCCTTGCTGCGCTCCGCGGTCGACGCCGGCCGCCGCATCGTGCCCGACGTGATGGGTATCTCGTACGTCTTGGTGAAGCAGTTGCCCATTGCAAAGCCTCCTCGTTTCCTTTCCTTCTCCTGGGGTGGCGCCGAGACGAAGCGAGGGTGGAATGGTGAGTTGGGTTTGGGAGAACGAGGAGCCGAGGTTTTGAAGGGTTTCTCTTTCTCTGCGCGGGCGGTGGGCGGCGGGAGCGGAGTTGCTTGACGTGATGCCCTACCCCTTCGTTTCGCTGTTTGCTTTTGGTCCGGGCTTTGAGCTTTATGCCTTGTTTGGTTATCTCCGGAGGGAAAGGAAGATTCAAAGAAAGCCTCGGGATCACGCTATCTCACCTTATGCAGGCAGTACAATATACTTGCGGCGGTGCGACAGCCGATTTTATTCGGCTTTGGAGGTGTAGAAACACATAGCACTACGTGCTTTTATTGATCTAGCAATAGCCATTTTACTTGAGGGATATGCTGTACTAGCTTTCGGTAACATCGTCAGAATCAGGCGCAGGCAGCACTAACAAAGTACGCCCCTTTTCAGAACGGAATCAACAGTGGGCCGGAGTAATGTGACGAGCCAAGCCGGCCCAGAAGATATTCCGGCTTACAAAACTCAGAGCGGAATCAACTATGGGCTGGAGGTAATGACCTGGTAAGTCTATCTTGACTCAAAAAGACGTTTTATTAACATGGTGGCATGTGCTTTCACGGCTTCTGGCCTCAGCAAGCGGTGACGCGCGCTCTGGCAATCGCTAACACCCGGAGCCGCCTCGCCCGCCGCCCGCCGGTGGCGCCCCGCGTCGATCGGCTAGGGGCGAGGGGCTCAGCTGATGTCTACGCTACGCGAGAGAGCGGGCGGATGCCACCTCTTCCACTACTAATCTCTTTCAGCGGCGCGTGGCCTGAGCAGGGAGAGTAGCAGACGCAGCAGCGCCAACCTGCCCCGTGACGGGCACCGCGCACCATTTCGGACCGATATGCCGTGACGGGACGCCGCATTGCGCTTCTGATAAAGCATCCGGAGAGTCAAACTCGATTCGGAAGTTCAGTGTACTTCGTCGCCCACACGGATGGGTTGGGGGCATGAATCCGAAGTGAGATCATTTCCATGGGAAAAGAGGCCAAAAAGATAAACTAAGGAAATAGTCCATTCATGTGTTTCTCTCCAATATACGTCATAAAACCTTTTTTTCTTCTCTTTACGGATATCAATATACAAAAGTTCCTTTGAAGGCTAGCATATGTGTGGTGTTTGCAGTCCAAGGTAAGAAAGTACAGTAATAAGTACCCTTGGTGACCGACCGGTACAGTTCTTCAGTTATCAATTCTTCTCAGATTAAACAGCTGTGGTTGTATATAACAAGTAAACTGGTTTTCAGAATTGCAGCACTAGAGTGGTGTGAAGGCCTGAATGGGTTCATCATGATTCTTGATGCAAACTCAGTCTAGGTCTTTCTTTGTCCTTAATTAATATATATTTGTGAAGACCTAACTTCGAGTCCAGAAAACAAAAGGAGCTTTTCGTTGTTTCTTTTGAAGCCTAGTAACAAAAACGAAGGAACACTGTGTTAAACCAAAACTAAAAAGGAAGAATATGTGAACCTTTTGTATGCCGGTAAGGCCGTATGGAATTTCAACTGCACTCGTTTTCAAATTAATAGATGTGGTTGACTAAGTAGAAAAAAGAAATACTAGTATGCTGATGCAAGCTAGTGTGATCCAGGGGTTCGTTTTGTTTCTTGACACACGCTTGAGTCTTATTCTTTATTACCCCAAAGCACCTTCCTAATCCTACCTATTACTTTGGTTAACTTTAGAAGACACTGACTCTACCAACTAACATGTAAGCAAACACTAGTTGCATAACCGTTGGTTGAGAAGAGTAGACGAGAAGGGACCCAGTCTAGTAGTATTCCTCTAGAAGATTAGGTTGCTGTAGCCATGACTGTGAGTTGTGACTAGGTTTTTTCAGTGGGCAAGGCAACACCCTACACATGAAGCCTTGAAGAGTTGGTGTATATATATCAGATGACCCTGTTGAGCCTGAACTTACAATTTAGAAAGAACAAGGAAGACAGCAGGTGACACCTTTGCGGACACACCAAAACTGCCGGCCATAGCCCATATTCCCACAAGAAGATGGCGATCCCGGTTTACAGCATCACAAGGGCAGAGATCGAGGAGTTCTGGAGGAGAAAGGAGATGGAAGAAGAGGAGCAGCGCCTCACCGCCGAGAAGGAAGCTGCAAGAATCAAAGCCAAGACACTTATGGTCAGTTCTTCTTCTTATTGATCAATCGTAATTTGTTGTATTACCAATCACTATCTCGTCCTCTGATCTCCTTTACCAGCTCAGGTTCAGTATGGTTCTTAGTCAAAAAAAAGTTCAGTATGGTATTTAGCATAGCAGATAAATCGACGCATGTAAGGCAATAAAAATCTGCGATGCAGATACAGGCCAAATTATCCTACCATGAATTTGGAGTTCAAAAATACTGTGACTTGTGGTGTCTGAATTGTTTGAAAAGCAGATTGAAGATTATGCGATCTTCGAGCAAATGATAAGGGAGATTCTTGAGGAGGGTATCAAAGGTGACAGCGCAAGGGCGGAGAGAGACATCACCACGAACGGCGCCGCTGCCACCAAGAGCACTGAGGGAAGGATTGGCATCAAAGATTGGTAACCGTTCTTTCTGCAAATTTCCTAGAGTTATGCTATCCGTTCTTTCTGCAAATTTCCTGAAGTTGATATAGCAGAGTGCGTCCCTTTCTAAATAGTGCGTTTCCACATCCTCTTTGGAAGTTGGATAATGGTCCAATGTGGAAAACAATCTGTATCCCACTTTCCATCCATTTCCACGGTTGGATTTCCTGTTACAATTCTATAGTGGAATTTATAGTCAAGAAGAATTATATGGATGTGAGAATTAAGAACCTAACAAGCTCAACGTGTAGTTAGTCAAAATAAGAAGCAACGCGTTAAGATTTTTTTGTAACAGTTCTAAGGATCAAGACGGCTATTTTCGTGTGCATGTGCAATCGCTTAAAATTCTGGTGCAATTACGACCTTAGCATCCTATCAGAAGTAATCTTAATTACTTAGTCTTCAAAAAAGAATTAATTAAATAGCTGTGGATATGACTGACCACCATCTTGCCTCCCTGGGTGCAGGTGGAGAAAAAGCACTTATGCTTATCTGAATGAACCAGCAATGACATCCACGGATGAGAACGGCAGAAGGAAGCACGCCATCAAATACATCCCACAGGAGAGATGCATGAACTTCTTCTCATCGATTCCAAGTCAACATAATACTACTACTTTTGCAATCTTCTAAATGGGCAAGCCAATGATAAGCTGAGGCATATTGGCAAATTAGAAAATATGCAAGTGGTATATGCATCAGCAATGCTATGGGTGGAATAAACTACATTGTTTTTAAGTGTATAAGTATGTCCAAACTGAATGGTACTTTAAAGTTAATCATTTTGTAACCTTGTTGCCTTGCGTGGTATAGAAAGCAGGCCATTTTAACTTATTATTCATTGTAAAAAAAACAATTTTAGTTGGTGCTTGCAATGATATATCAGAAGCTATTGCCAACACTTCTGTGATGGTATCACGAATGTTATTCGGCATTATACTGTTCAGCACACGTAACAATCTTCTTGCATATACACTCTTATCTGTTTGAATTGATTAACCTTGCAACATCTTATGTATACATCAGTTGTGCACTGTATCTTCAAATGTACAAAATATGGCCTTCTTGAACATTGTTTTTATTTTTTAAAAAAGGCTAGTTCCTCTTAGAGTAAGTTTAATAGTATAGCCCACTACTAGCTCCAAATCATCTATAGCCAATTCATACAATAGTTGCTTACTATACTATTAATACTCGGTCCCACCTGTCATTGACATATTACGACTTAGAGTCCGTGCTGCAGCTGGCTACAGATCTGTAGCCTGCTGCTCTTCTCTATCTTCCTTTTATCTCTTTAAAATATGTTTATAGTTGGCATATAGCCTGCTATTGTACATGCTCTTAAGTATTACTCTATCTTTTTTCCCCTTCCTGTACTTGCTTGAAGTGTCCAGAGGCAACCAAGTTCTGTGAATACGAGGGATCAAACAAACAAGAAACAGGTAAAAGAAAACAAGTGTAAGAAAACGACCTTACAACTAAAAACTGATGTTACATATCTTTGTCCTCACTTTTGCTAAGATAAAGAAACAGTTCTACCTGGAAACTATCCAAGGGATAAAAAACAAGTTTTCTACACAAGAGTCATCGCTAGCATACAACAAAAAGAGTGTCGCCTTTGTTATTTTGCAGCGTACTCGGATGCTGACATGTTGTTGGCTAAGAAAGTGCATAGATAACTTCATTAGTTCCACTAAATTAGATTACCTTGGTGGATGCTTGAGCAGGTAGGTAGATAGCAGCAATCAAAGGTGTCTGCTCTGCTCTCCTCTGCTTGGCAGAATTTCATTCTGAATTTTCGCTCTGAAGTTAGCAGTGACCAAAGCGGAGTAGAGGGAGCTCCACTTCATTTTTTTTAACAGATCAATATTACAATTTGACCAAACTGAACCTGTTTGCCCAAATTGGCCTGTTGCCCGAGCGTTTCTCTCGAGGAATAAGTTCACTTTGGGTCCCTCTATTTGTCGCCCAGTCCGATTTTCATCCCTTGACCACGAAACCGGATGCGACCCGTCCTCCAACTTACGAAAACCGGGCAAACAAGGTCCCTCGGCGGTTTTGGCTGACATGGCGCCTACGTGGCTAATTTGACTCAGTCTTCATCTGACGTGGCACTTACGTGGCAATTCGATCCGGAAAAATAATAAAGCCCATGGGACCCACATGTCATTTTCACATATAAAATAATAAAAAAAAATAGTGGGACCCATGTGGGCCCCACATGTCATACTCATCCCCCCTCATCTTCTTCCTCCCTCTCCCTCTCCCCTCTCTCCAGCCTCCAGGCGCCACGGCTCACGAGGTCACGGGGAGGTCCGGTGGTGGCAGCTGGCGACGCGACAGCCGCCGCCGCCGGCGAGCTCCACCTCTCGGCGCAACCGTGCAGCCGCGTGCGTTTCTGATCCCGCGCGCGCGTGGCTGTCTGACGGCGTGGGTGGCACAGATGGATTCATGGATCTATCCGTAGCGCCCCCCTCCCCCCCCTCCCGCGCGATGCGACGGCCAACGACGTCGCTCTGATGCCGGCGAGAGAGAGAGAGTACATCTTCAACTGCCAGCATTAATTTGCATCGAGAGAGAAAATTAGCAGTAGCATCAAATAATATCATTTCAGTTTCATCGCAATTAAGCTAGCTAGCCATGTGAGGAGTCAGTTCGATGCCTCGATCGATCGTCGGCGTCGAAGAGGGGTCAAGAACTCAAGATTAGGCGATCGATTCCATCTGACACATCGGCTGAATCATACGAGCTACCGTCAATTGAGTACTCGTACTAACGTACGCGTGTAAATGCTACTGACTGCATGAGAGAAACTGTACAAGTCCTGTGCTTACACAATGTACTACGGCCTAGCCATGATCTATATGATGCAGCACAATACCTTTAAATTAATAACATCAATCGACAACCGATCCAATGCATGCATGGGAGTAATTTACAGGCTTCGAGTTCATACACTGTTGCATTGCAACTTGCGAAAAACACAGTGCTACACTGAGAATCAATGATGGCCATCCGCAGCTAAGTGATGATCTGTGAGCAATTAGCAATTACCAGTTACTGACGAGAGGTGAGTAGGTAAAGGCATTACTAGCAAGAACTGCATCGGAACAAAGTTCATTCCGGTGGTCAAAACTCAAAACCCCAGCGAGCTGAGGCATGAGAGCGACGTCGCCAGCCGTCGCCGCCTCGCCGTCGTGTCGCGGCGGGGGGGGGGGGGGGGAGGGGGTTACGTGCTGGCACGGGATTAGATCCATGAATCCATTCGTGCCGCCCACGCCGTCAGACAGCCACGCGCGGGCGGGGTCAAAAACGCGCGCAGCTGCACGGCTGCGCCGAGAGGAGGAGCTCGCCGCCGGCGGCGGCTGTTGCGTCGCCGGCCACCACCGTCGGACCTCCCCGTGACCCAGTGAGCTGTGGCGCCTGGAGGCTGGAGAGAGGAGGGGAAAGAGATGGAGAGAGGGGAGATGGAAAGGGAGGAGGAAAAAGATGAGGGGGGATGACATGTGGGGCCCACGTGGGTCCCACTTTTTAAATACTATTTATGTGTGAAAATGACATGTGGGTCCCACGGGCTTTATTATTATTTTTTGATCGAATTGCCACGTAAGCGCCACGTCAGATAAAGACCGAGTCAAATTAGCCACGTAGGCGCCACGTCAGCCAAAACCACTATCAAAACCGCCGAGGGACCTCGTTTGCCCGGTTTTGGTAAGTTAGGGGACGGGTCGTATCTGGTTTTGCGGTTAAGGAGCAAAATTCGGACTGAGCGACAAATAGAGGAACCCAAAGTGAACTTATTCCTTTTCTCAATCATGTACTGGGCCTGCTAACCACTGTAGCTACATGGGCCAAAAGAGCAGCAAAAGCAACTCGCATCCATAACAATCAATGGATCGTGGTCTTTTTTTATAGCTCACATCGTTTGTAACTTTGTATCACTTGTTGGACCGGAGCAAATTCTTTTTTTATAAAAGAGATTTTTTAGGGTCTAATAGGATGGTGCGGTACCGAATATGGACAATTGAATCTCCAATGGATTAAAAATGGTGGTACTGTGAGGTACCATCGAGGTCAACGGGTCGTACCACGGTTGAACAAGTAAGTGCAAAGGGCATCAACGTAATTTTGCATGGGAGTATAGACTGGATCAACTTGAGTGCGGCAACTGCAAAAATCTGAAACCTAAGTCGTCACTTTTGACCGTGCTTGCCCTCTTGTCACCGCCGCAATCCTTAGGTTTAGGGCACCGCCACCACCCTTTCTGTACTCCTCACAAGAGTCCTTTTCACCACAACAATATTCGATGCTGCAGAGCTCATCGCATGTATCTTCGTGATATCATCGCATTTGTGGCGCTCCTCGGCGGCGCTCTTCTCGCTACAACGGTCATCGATGCCACGAATCTCACTGCCTGTCTCTTCAACGGCGAGCCCGTTGGCACAGTGGACCATTGCAGAGGAGGTGGGGAGATGTTTCCTTTCCAGACATGGCACTGGTGAAGCCCTTGCTACCCCTACGTCAGCGAAGTCTTTGGAGAACGATAATGGGGTTGACGACTGTCGATGCTACCCATCCTGTCCATCACAAATGGACGGTTAGATTCGATTTGGTACCTCAAGGTACCACTTGTTGGACCTATAGATGATCATAAGGCCTAAGGCCCCACGGCCCGGGCCAAGCACGGCATGGCATGACTGGTGTTGGGCCCGTGTCGGCCAGCCGACAGTTGGCCCGTGCTTGGGCCGATGCCTTTGCACGGTGGGCCGGCTCGGCACGGAACGATCAAAGAAAAATAGTTGAAGCATCCAAAATAGACTTAAATCAAACATATAAGGCATGGTCCAAAGAGAAGAGGGATGCATCATAGACTTATTCCAGCCATATAGACAACCCAAAAGAGATAAGGGACTTATTCCATTGAGAAGCAGGATGGGTTGTCATGCTTTTGGGCCGGCCGGGCACGGCCCGGCTGACCTCGGCCCAGGTTCAGTTATGCCTGGGCCCTGTAGGGCCGGGCGGCCCGTTTGGCTATCTATAGTTGGACCGGAGCAAATTCCCTCACAAAGAGGAAAGGAGAATAGTGGTAATCTCAGAATTCTCTATAGAAGTAGTAATATCTCCCACGGTAGGATGGCGGAACTCAAGTCTTGTTGTGGGTTTCCGTGTGTCGACGGTGGGTACCCGTAGACCGGATATAGAGGGTATTGGGGTACACTGGTACGAGGATCTACGTAGTACGACATCAAGGAAACAAGAGACATAGATTATACTGGTTCAGGCCCCTCAATAGGTAATAGCCCTAATCCAGTTAATATGGGATTATATGGAGAGAACCACAAATTACAAAGGGAATAAATGGAACTCGACGATACCCACGAGATCGTAGTCGAGTTGATTCGACTAGATCACCCGGCGACTTGGCTCCTGTAGGCTCCGGCTTCGTAGGCTGTGGTCGTTGTGTTGGCTATAAGATTCGATGCCTTAGGTCCTCCCAGGGGTCCCTTTTATATCGCAGATCAGGTGGTCTCCAAGTAGGACTTGGAGACATCGGACCCTGCATGATATAGTGATGACCCAGTCCTATACGGGTAGGAACCTTTCCATTAGTGGACTTCGTGATGGATTTCCTTAGCGTATATAGAGAACGTCCGTACGCGCGCAGATGTACCATATTACCGTATAGCGTACATCCAAAGGTAGAGGGTATAGTTTATCCGTAATCCTGACACCGTGTCCAATGTATGACTGTTCGTCTTATTAAAAAAATTAAAAAAATAAGTTAGGTATAAAGTATTATTCATGCTTTATCATGTAAAAACAATAAAAATAATATTCATGATAAAATTTTAAATAAAACGTATAGTTAAACGTTGGACGTAAAAAATCACAAATACACTTAAAACTGGACATATGGAGTCAAATTTTCGACACATTTTGCTATCAGCAACGGGTTTCCGGAGGATCTCTGCCCCAGAAGTGGGTCAAACGCACGTGAGATCCCGCGAAGCACATCAATGGAAGAACGAAAGCCCCTCTCCCTTTTTCTTTTTTCCCTTTTCCTTTTCTTTTCAAGCCGTAATGAAGAGATCGAGCGAGAGGCCCAAAATGACCAGCACAGTGCGCCGCCGCTGGTCGCGGAGATCACTTCCCTCCTTCCGAGTTCCGAGCAGTCTCCGGCCCGGCGCATGCATGCCCCGCTCCCCCCCACGCATATATAATCCTCGCCCGCGACGCTCCCGCGCCCGGGTAGCTTAGACGACCACTGCTCATCACCCCGTTGCTCTCGCGCCGCCCTCCCCGCCGAGCCAAAAAGCCTTCCTCCTCGAAATAGCACACCTCTCGCCGCCGCTGGTGCGTGCGTGCGTCGACGCGCGCGATCGATCGATGCCTGTGTCCCTCCGGCGCGTCCACCCACGCCAGCCGGCGAGCCTCGTCGGCGAGTTTCGGGGGCGCTGATTAGATTTGCCCGGTCTCGATCGATTGATCGGTCTCGCCTTCCCGCCGCGCGATGGATCCGCGGGGGAAGGGCAGCATCACGTCGCATGCGTCGGACAAGTCGTCGCGGTCGGGCTCGTTCGACTTCGAGCACGACCAGGACCCGGACCGCGACCGCCGCCACGACGACGCCCACCGCCGCGAGGTCGTCGTCAAGATCGAGCCCGAGGCCCACGTGCCGGTGGACCTCCACGCCGGCGGCAGCCACGCCGCCAACGCGCCGGGCGCTGGCGGCGTGGCGGTGGGGGGCGTGGTCCCGGGGTCCGGGTCGGTGTCGAGCGCGTCGTCCTCGCCAGGCGGTGGGGGCAACGGCGAGTCGTTCAGCTTCAAGAACCGGCCGCCGCAGTCGCCCGCGTCTCCGGCGATGAGCGTCGGCGGGGAGGGCAGCGACGACCCGCCCACGCGTCTCATTGGCAGCTTCTTGCGCAAGCAGGCGGCGGCCGGCGGCGAGCTGGCGCTCGACCCTGACCTGGAGATGGAGGAGATGAGGAGGCCGCCGCGCGCGCCCACGTCCATGAACGCCTCCAGGGAGCTCCGCGTCTCGTTCCAAGACCCGCACAAGCGGTTCTCCCCGTCGACGTCGTCGGCCTCCACCTCCTCCTACGCCGGCGACAGCAGGAACCAGGCTTGCAGCACAGCGGAGGCGGCCGAGGTGATCCGCTGCACGTCGATGTCCACCGGAAACAACCTGTTGGCGCGGAGCAAGACGCGTTCCCGGCTAATGGATCCCCCGCCGCCGACGATCAGTCACCCCACCGAGGCGGAGCGCAACGACCGCAAGTCGTTCGTCGGCAAGGGGCCGCCCAAGTCAGGGCAGCTCCGGTCGGGCCTCATCGGCAAGTCGGGGCTCATCGGCTTGTCAGGCCCCATCGGGAAGCCCGGCGCCTTCGACGACGACGACGACGACCCGTTCGTGGACGAGGGCCTCGCCGCCGACCTCAAGCGCGACACGGTCGACTGCCTCCTCATCCTGGAATGGGTCGGCCTCATCGTCATCATGGGCGCGCTCGTCTGCAGCCTCAGCATTCGCAGCCTCGCCAACAAGAAGCTCTCGGGTCTCCACCTCTGGAAGTGGGAGCTCCTGGTGTTCGTCCTCATCTGCGGCCGCCTCGTCTCCGGCTGGGTGATCCGCATCTGCGTCTTCTTCGTGGAGCGCAACTTCCTGCTGCGGAAGAAGGTGCTCTACTTCGTCTACGGCGTGCGCCGCGCCGTGCGCAACGTGCTCTGGCTCGGCCTCGCGCTCATCTCGTGGCACCTCCTCTTCGATAAGGACGCCAAGCGTGATTCCCACACGCTGGTGCTCCCTTACGTCACCAAGGTGCTCTGCTGCCTCCTCGTCGCCACCGTGATCCGCCTCGTCAAGACGCTGCTGCTCAAGGTGCTCGCCTCCTCCTTCCACGTCTCCACCTACTTCGACCGGATCCAGGACGCACTCTTCAACCAGTACGTCATCGAGACGCTCTCCGGCCCGCCGCTGGTCGACGAGAGCCGCATGCTCGCCGAGGTGCAGAGGCTGCAGAGCGCCGGGATCAACATCCCCAGCGAGCTCGAAGCAACGGCCATGCCGAGCAAGCCGCCCATGCCGGCCAAGAGCGGGCGCCTCACGGTGAACCCGTCGAAGCGAGGAGGAGCAGGAGGTGGGGCCAACAAGCAGCTGCAGAAGCAGAAATCCGACCGCCATTGCGACGACGGGATCACGATCGACCAGCTTCACAGGCTTAGCCAGAAGAACATCTCAGCTTGGAGCATGAAGAGGTTGATGAAGATTGTTCGTTACGGGGCGCTGACCACCATGGACGAGCAGATCAAGCATGCAACCGGAGAGGACGAGCTGGCCACGCAGATACACAGCGAGTACGAGGCCAAGGTTGCTGCCAAGAGGATTTTCCACAATGTCGCCAAGCCTCACTCCAAGTGAGTAGCAGCGCACCAGTGCTACACCTGTTTTTCATGTACAAAATCTTGTTATCAAATTTCATGGCTATATGCCTATCCATTCCTGAAATGTCAACGTGTTGCAGGCACATATACTTGTCGGATTTGATGCGTTTCATGAGGCAGGAGGAAGCTCTGAAAGCAATGGATCTTTTTGAAGGCGCACAGGAGCACAACAGGGTCAGCAAGAGGTCACTCAAGAACTGGGTGGTAATGATATTGTCAATCTTGACACAGTCACAGCTCCTTTTAATCTGAGAGACACAAAATGTTATGCTTAATCTGTCATGTGAACTATGCAGGTAAGCGCGTTCAGAGAGCGCAAAGCTCTTGCTCTAACGCTCAACGACACAAAAACTGCAGTGAACAAGCTCCACCAGATGGCCAATGTTGTTGTTGTGGTTATTGTGATTGCACTATGGCTTTCCATTCTAGGGATCGCGACGTCACGCTTCTTCGTCTTCATCAGCTCGCAGCTTCTTGTTGCGGTTTTCATGTTTGGCAACACTCTGAAGACCATCTTTGAGGCGATTGTGTTCTTGTTTGTGATGCATCCTTTTGATGTTGGCGATCGTTGTGAAGTTGATGGGATGCAGGTTACAATTCTTTTCATTGTTCTATCTGCATTGTATGATTGCTTCACACTGTCTGACTTGGTTCTAAACTGTTGCGAAATTCAGGTAGTCGTCGAGGAAATGAACATCATGACGACAATCTTCCTCCGATACGACAACCTGAAGGTCTATTATCCGAACAGCCAGCTCGCCATCCAACCAATCATGAATTACTACAGGAGTCCTGATATGGGAGATGCAGTCGATTTCTCTGTTCATGTCGCTACGCCTGTGGAGAAACTGGCCCTGATGAAGGAAAGACTAATGCAGTAAGTATCAATGCATTAACCTCAGTTTTTATTGTCTTAAATCATTTTTCTCCTGAACATTCCATGCACAAGAATGTACTACATTGACTGCTTTAGGGTTATCAATCATGTCATTTGAAATTTCAGTTACCTTGACAACAAGAAAGAACATTGGTACCCTGGATCCATGGTTGTTCTCCGTGACGTGGATGACACAAACAAGCTAAAGGTATCCATATGGTGCCGTCACACGATCAACTTCCAAGACATGGGGATGAGATTCGAGAGGAGGGAGCTATTGCTCCAAGAAATGATCAAGATCTTGAAAGATCTAGACATCGAATACCGGATGTTGCCACTCGACATCAACGTTCGGAATGCGCCAATGATCCAGTCTTTGAGGATGCCATCAACATGGATAACGTATTAATTCTTCTTGAAATGCAGTACCAAGTTAAACATGCCTGATCAGTTCAGTGATGAGATTATGGTTTGAAGTTGCTAGGTAGGCAGCCGTATTTCTTGAGTAAGGTGACGTAGTACTGTAACTGAAGTGCCCTTCTCCTTTCCTCCATCTCCTTCTTGCCAAGGGCATATTCGGTTGAGTGGATTGAGCTGTGACAGCTTGCCAAAATAGCAAGAGGCCGTCTTACTGTCCTTGCAGCCACCGCTTGTGCTTTCCTGTAACTGTAGTGTTATGTGTTTGGGTACTTCTTATGAGAACTTTAGACATGTTGCTACTTAATAATTTTGATGACTTAATGCATCAAAAGATGAATGCAATTTTGACAGCAAAATACAAGAATATCGATCTAAATATCTAATGTTAGCTTGCAGCATACAGTACTAGATCTCATTTTACCTGGAATTTTTATGCTCTCTGGATAGGTTAAGCAGGCATTGGCCTGTCTTAACAAAAGAAGGCAGATGCTTTTGTTTCCTGTTTTTGCCCTGGTATTTGCTTCGCCTAGAATAAGGTTGAGAAGGATTTGGCATTTGCATTTACAAATAGGCATGCACTTCTTTGTTTCTCGAATAAAAAAAACCAGTTGAAACTGGGCAGCATACATCATAGTGCTGGAAAAGGGGAGGCAACCGTAGTAAAAATAGATAAATTTAAGATGAAATGGTTCATTTACAAAGGCGACCTGGACACTGACAAAAATGAAACTTTTTTATTAATATTGTTTCGGGGAAACAAAAAATGAGCGTTCTGTCGTTCGACACAAGAAAACAGAGACCAGAAGGTCCAGAACAGGTGTTACCATTGAACTCTAGACAAGTTCGTTCAAAGTTCAAACAAAATAAATAAATCTCTAGACATGGAAGGCTCGACGCTATTAAATTCCACCTACTGATCCTTGGACCTGTGGAGAAGTTGCCGGGCGCGGACGCGTACCTGAAGCCGCACGAGCACCTTCATGAACCGGATGGCGACGCCCGCCTGCTTCCGCACGTACGAGCCCCGCGCGAGCGCCTGCAGCTTCACCAGGCTCCTCAGCGCGCGAAACGCCCGCCTCGCCTGAAATGAACGGACACGCCTTTCTGAATCATCGTGGCAGCCTTTGCAGAAATGCAGCGGTAAATGCGGCCGGGTTAACGTGCGCGCGTACCAGGTGACCGCGGAAGCCGGCCTGGATGGTGGCCGCCGCGGCCTCCTCTCTTGAGATCTCCTCACGGTTGTTGACACCTCCGTCGCGCGCTCCTTTCCCCACACGACGCGCAGCCGTCTGACGCCTTGGTTCGACGACGACGATGCCGGAGTCGGGTGCCACGGCCGTCTGGCCGCACGGAGGAGACCGACCGAAGACACGCTTCATCCCGCTCATCAACCGGCGTAGGCGAGGCCGAGGCGTGGGCCGCGTCTGGCGTTGCCGAGCATTATCTTCACGCCGCGTGCCGAGGCAGCAGAGGAGGTTGCTCCTGGCCATGTTCATGTGGTTGAGATGGCGGCGATGCTTTGGTGGAGACGGAGGTGTGCAGTGTGGTTTTGGGCCATTTTTGGAGGTGCTCCAGAGACACCCGAGTCTTGGTGGAAAGTTCTCAAACAACGTGGCGGGATGAATCCCAACCGACGAATCGCGTGCATCTTGATTTCTTGAACCGGATCTTTTCTCATGCCGTATTATTTTAGCGCAAAAATAAGTTCCCGAGAATCTGACAAAACTCGGACCATTTCATCTTATCATTCGCGCACTTCCCGCCAACACTCCGATTTGTACAGACTTTCCAGTTCCCAGGTACACCAAAACAGAGCAGCTATAATGGTCATCGAAACCAGAGCAACTACCGGTGGCCGCGACTGACGACCGGTGCCCACTAGGAGGCGCAGCGCAGCGAATGCAGTGACGCGGTGGTGTCCATGGACGCGGCGTCGAACACGCCGCACCGTTCGCTCGCCTCGATGCCGTAGTCCATGAGCGGCCGTTGCTCGAGCTCGTCGTCGTGCCGGCGCACCGCCTCCGGGACGTCCAGCTCCCCCTTGCGCACGTGCGCCCACAGGTACTCCAACCGGCTCACGTACCTCAGCTTCCCATACAATCTTCAGGAAAAAAAAACAATAACACAAAAATCGCTTAGTAAGCAAATCGATACTCCCTCCGGTTTTATTTTAATTGACGATTTAGACAATGATACTCTCTACAAGATATACCTTTCCCTTATTTTTCTATTATAATATATACAATAAATAAATGCATGTTTATTTTTATATAGTATTTTGAAAGACAAATCTATATATGTTTTTCTAGTTTTTTTAAACTAAATATTTTGACAGTTATTGATGATCAATATTATAAAAGTTTAACCTCAATCTTGTCCAAAACGTCAATTAATATAGAACCAGAGTGAGTAATCTCTAGTACGGCCTAACATCGCGCGTAACGTATGTACCCTGAGCTGAAGAGGAACCGGCCAAGGGTGGAGAAGAAGAGGCGGGACTGGAGCCCCGGGTGAAGGAAGTACACGGCGTGTAGCCTCTCCCTGACAGCCGCCGGCATGGACTCGTACGCCGTCCGGACCGCGCCGACGCCGGGGAAGTTCTCGCGGCGATCCACGCCGGAGTGCATGTACACCACCACGAACTCCGCGTCCCCGATCGCCGGCGTCACCCGCCTCCGCACGTACCCCTTCAGCGCCGCCTCCGCGTGCCCGCCGCCGCCCAGCTCCCGCGCTGCAACGCCAACAAAAACGAAACACCCGCTCGCGTCACGAGCCCAACACGAACGTACTGGCGTGTGTGACGTGTTTCTGCCACCGTACCAGGGAAGTTCTTGCCGACGATGCGGACGATGGGCCGGCCGGCCTTGTCGCGGCCCTGGACGGTGATCACCCGCTTCTTCTCGAGCAAAATCTCCTGCTTGGTCATGGCGTCCATATCCTCTCTGGACTGTTCTGCTCGAGATTTTCGCTTCGTAAAACTTTCGTACGAGCGAGTATGATGCCGTGATGGTACGAGCGTTGTTGGGGTTAAATAGGTCAGCGTGCGGTGTGGGGACGATCAGATCGAGAGCTGTTGGATCAGGGTGAGGTTTGGGGACGGGAGACGGACGGGCCAAGAATGGCTTGCGGTGTTGGGAACGCGTGCCGGCGTATGGGGTGGGGGCCGCGGGATCCGGCAGAATATGCGGAGGATCCGTTTCGGCTGCGGCGCGGTCTGCGTCTCGGCACGGCGCGCGGGAGCGGGGCGTCTGGCCACGTCGCGGTGCACCCAGGTCTCGGCGTTCGGACGCGAGCGGGGGGCCGGGGGCTCGGTTTTTCGCGGCGAAACCGCGAAAACGCTATATTTAAGTTCTGGGTGTCAAATTTTCCGCTACAGCTCCACATCTTCTTTTCTTGAAAAAACAAACACTGCAGTGTGTATATACTCACTCCTATAAACGCATATACGCACACTTTACCCCTAAGTACTCGTTGTCGATGGGTATGTCAACCACTGAAAAATTAATTAACTGTAAATACGATCACCCGTGTAAAATATAGTATTTAAACCCGGGTGGATTGGTTCCACTGCAAAGAAATTAACCAGTTGAGATAGGCTCACTTCGCTAACTCCATCTCTTTTAATAGTGAAGCCCAACCAAACGATTTCAGCTCCACCTAAAAAGGTGAACCAGGTTGAAATACTCTCACAAAATGAGTTAAAGTTATAGAGTTGTTTTTAGGCTGCTTCACAATTTCACTTTAGACCCAGCTCCTAAAACTAAATTTAGAAGTTAAAGTCCTACCGAAAGAGTCCTTAGCTGTCAGTTGCCAATCACTTTTGAGAGTCCATGTGTACGTACGAACTCGTGTATACATATAAAGTTTATACACGTATGTATGTGTAAAGTATATATATGTATATATAAAATATTTTTTATAGGTCTAAAGTGTACACATACATGTGTGTGTAAAATTTATGAATGAATTTTAGAAAACTTCACGTTTTATATGGTAAAAGTTAAAAAAAACACTGCACGTATTATAACACGTGGTAGATTTTTAACTCCAAACCCTCTTGGGCCATCTCACAGCTAGCTATTCGATGAGGGCCTTTGCGGCCCATATAAGCGATCCGATGGTGAATAGTTTGTGGACCCCACATGTCATGCACGTGATAGGTTGCGTTGGCTTTTATATGGGACGTAAACTTTCATCCCCGCCTCGTTTCCTCGCCGATGGGCGATGGCCATGGCTGACGGCGCCTTCTGAACCATTAACCAACCGGTTCCACCTCATCTTGGAAAGAACGTGCAGAGCCCGTTCGTTCACATTGGCAGCCTAGCAGGCAATGGAAGTCGCCGGCGATGTGTGGTTCCCTACCTCCTCAGATTGTGCGTTCCATGGCATCGATCATTCTACGGCGGCAACGGACACATGGAGCAGTCACCACCTGCTATACAGCGATGCGGCCAGTACTTGAGGGGAACAGAGCGGATCAGCGGATAGAAGGTGGCAGACTGGCTGTCAGGATGCGACGGCGCTGCGGTCAAGCACGTCATGAAGTGGCGGCGGTGTTCTTGTAATCGACGGCGATCCATGCCATGTCGCATCCGGACGCCGGCGCCAACGACCCCTCCCCGTCCCCCACCCCGGCCGCGAGGTCGTCTCTGTCGTGGATCTTCGTGGGACGCCGACGACACGCGGGGTGGACGACGGCGAGGGCGCACGGGGTGGCCTCTCTCTCCCTCTCCCGCTCGCGTCTGTCCCTCCCTCTCTCTCCCGTTGCTGGCGGCCGCGAGGTCGTAGCTGTCGCAGATCTTTGCGGGGCCGCTATCGCAGATCTCTGGAGTGTCGCGTCGCCACCGCTCTCCCTCCGTCCGTTGGTGTCACGGGGTTGTCGCTAAGCCATCTCCGTTGCACGGATGGTCACCGTCCCATTCTCTCCCGCCCACTCTCCTGCCCCCCGCCACCACTCCGGCTACCGCCCGCCGCCGCTGCCACCGTAGCCGTCTCCGCTGCCACTGCCGCCTCCTCTTTCGCCTCCATCCGCGCCAGCACCACCCCAAAGTGCCTCCCCACCCTCTCTCCCGATGCCACCACTCCGCCCCCGTCCGCCGCTCCATCACCCGCCACCACCGCTCCAATCCCATTCCTCGCAGACGACCGACGGGAAGAGAAAGAGAGAGACATAAGGGGAGAGTGGGAGAAAGAAGAAGGGTTGGAGAGATGATGACCATGTGGCCCCACGGTCAGTGGGTCCATTGTATTTTTTACGTGTAAATGACAAATGGGTCCCGCATATCTATTTTTAATTCTAATATTACATAAGCGCCACGTTAACACCACGTGGGACGAAGGCTAAGTTAACACCGCCACGTCAGCGAAACCACCCTCTAAAACCACTAGTGCAGTCAAATTACACCGGTTTCAATAGATCGGGGAGTCTTCTTATCCGGTTTATGGTTAAGGGGTACGAATTAGATTCAGTTTACTTTTAAGAGAGTCAAAGTCAGTCGACTTTTTCCTTGTTTTTAACTCCGAACCTCCTTGTGCCATCTTACAGCCGTTCGATCAGAGCCTTTGCGGCCCAGATTAGGGCAAATTGAGTTTTGGGCTTGAAGTTAAACTGTCTCGGTAAACACTGGGCCGGGAGAGGGCGCTAGTCACCAAACACCAGGCTGTGTCATAGCTCACGTGCCTCTGTTACATGTAGGGCAAATTTTGCTACAGGACATTATGACTTCGTAGTTTTAGCTCCAGGACACCACACAAAGTCACTTTTGGGGTAAAACACTCTCAAAACATGTTATTTGCCAACAGACACCGCGTCCATTAAAATAATAATTTCTGGTTAAAGAGGAGAGAGAAATCGCGTGAAATGTCAAAATTACCCTTGGGCCCACAGTGTCAGCTCTCTGTATCTCTCTTCACTCTTTCTCCCTCTCCCTCTCCCCTCCCCTCTCTTCACCGACAGGGAGCCGAAGCTCCTCTCTCCCTCAACCTGCAGGCCGAGGAGGCCATGTCCACACCGTCCCCACACGAGCGGCAACTGTAGATACAGCCAGTAGCGGCGGCAGCAACAGCAGCGGAAGCAGCAAAGAGCGGCGGCAACGACAGTAGCAAGAGCAGCAGCGGCGGCGGCGCGACGAGGGTGGCGCTGGCATAGGCGGCGCGACGGCGGAGGACGGAGTCGAGCATCTCGTGTCGGAGCATGGGGATGGGGGCGCTGGGTGGTAGCGCGTAGGAGAAGTCGGCGGCGAGGTTGGATGGCGAGAGGACGCGCATGCGGGTGACAAAGTGGTTGACATGGACATGCGGGATGGCGAACTCGTTGAGCATGCAAAGCGGGATGGCGCCGCCGCAGGGCTTGGCGCCAGACGAGTTGCGCTCGAGGAGGAACGCCTAGTCTCCCACGAACGCCAACGCCTCTGGCGCTGACGTGCCGGCGTGGTCGCCACCCACCACGGCCATGCGCAGCGGGCAACACAGGTGTGGTGGAGCTCGAGCAGGAGATCACGAGGCGACGTCGGCGTAGGTCGGCTCGAGCAAATCGTACTCGAGCACGCGCGAGGTTGCGCGTGGTGGTGACGGAACATCTACTTGTCGAGTTCGAGCTACGCGAGCACGTTCGTTGCTGATGGTTGTTGCCGATGCAGCATAGTTGATGCCCAGCAACGTCGACGACGTCGCGTCGGCCATTGTCGGGAGCAGCAGCGAAAACATGGCTCCGGCCTCCACGCCCCGCCTCGCCTCGTAGACAAAGAGCTAACATGGAAGGAGGAAGATACAAAGAGAAAAGAAGAGAGATAAGTGTTGACAGAAAACACGAGGCCTGGGAGATCTGCTTAACTCCAGTGCAGGTCCAAAGCTCGCCTTCGAGTGTTAGCGTGCCAGTTGATTTGATCCTGTAATCAACAAGAAATAGAAGCAAAGAAATCGCGATTAAATCTATAAATGATAGTCGATCGGCTAGGTGCCGATGACATATCATTTATCTTTGAGCCGATGACACATATGTATCGATCGGCATTCATGAATAAATAAGAAGGAACTAAATCTAATCGATCGGCTGTAGATAATAACAATATATACTCCTTATATCGATATATACTTAAATCAAGTGATTGGGATAGATCGGTCGCCATGCCGAGACAATATAAATCACTTAGATCGAAATATATATTAATAATGGGACTATATATGTTCATAGCATAGTCGATCAGATAGATCTAGCATGTATCGGCTAATACCCCGATACCACTCTATACTAAGATATTAAAGCAGGTAGAATACATCAAACAAAAGCTTAATATACTTAAATGCATTAAGATCCTAAAATAAACGGTAGATTTAACATGTCAATAAAGCATATAGGGCAAATATAGTTAAATCAGGTAAAATCGGATGAAACTCCAATACTACCCTAATCGGCAACCAAAAGGCATGCTATAGATTGATATTCTAAGCACGACTTAATAGATCAAACTAAACTGATACAGCATTAAGTATGAAAAGAAGAACAATATCTAGACAATCAAGCCGTTGGAAGTTTCATAGAGTGGTAGATATCTTATATAATCTAAATCAACGTCGCAATCTAACCTAATCGGCTGCCCTCTACCGACAGATGTTAGCCGATTGTAGATTAAATAGCGGTATTGCCGGAGATTATGTAAGATATATGATAACTCGACGAATTACAGAAACGAGATCAGAGTATCATAAAGATGGAAGCACTAATCCCGAGAATACAAGTCGTCATAACAAGTTTTACCTTTTGTTGAAGATCGAAACCGATGCAGTTCAACCCGAAATCAAGAACTCGTCGAAATAAAACTAAAGCAAAAAGGGTGGCGATGCGCCGAAATTGTATTGAGCGTGTGTGTGTTCGTCCCAAGTTACATAGGGCTCGGGTCTATTTATACCCGAGAATTACAAGATACGTCCATAACGGACACGACTATTATCTCTAACAAACTCTAAGATACCATAAGTCTTTGCGGCAGAGTCTTGCC